TCAAATCAATAGGCACGCAATGACTCTAAAGAATAATGATCACGCATCAAACACACATTCAAACTAAAGGAACCAGCCTGTTTGGAAAATGTGAGAAGTAGAAAGTACAGGTATTTGGGTTCAACTTGTAAGAAGTAGAAAGTACAGGTATTTGTGTTCAAAATGTAAGAAGTAGAAAGTACAGGTATTTGTGTTCAACATGTAAGAAGTAGAAAGTACAGGTATTTGTGTTCAACATGTAAGAAGTAGAAAGTACAGGTATTTGTGTTCAACATGTAAGAAGTAAGAAAGTACAGGTATTTGTGTTCAACATGTAAGAAGTAGAAATTACAGGTATTTGTGTTCAACATGTAGAAGTAGAAAGTACAGGTATTGTGTTCAAAATGTAAGAAGTAGAAAGTACAGGTATTTGTGTTCAACATGTAAGAAGTAGAAAGTACAGGTATTTCTGTTCAACATGTAAGAAGTAGAAAGTACAGGTATTTGTGTTCAAAATGTAAGAAGTAGAAAGTACAGGTATTTGTGTTCAACATGTAAGAAGTAGAAAGTACAGGTATTTGTGTTTCAACATGTAGAGAAGTAGAAAGTACAGGTATTTGTGTTCAAAATGTAAGAAGTAGAAAGTACAGGTATTTGTGTTCAAAATGTAAGAAGTAGAAAGTACAGGTATTTGTGTCAAATGTAAGAAGTAGAAAAGTACAGGTAATTTGTGTTCAAATGTAAGAAGTAGAAAGTACAGGTATTTGTGTTCAAAATGTAAGAAGTAGAAAGTACAGGTATTTGTGTTCAAAATGTAAGAAGTAGAAAGTACAGGTATTTGTGTTCAAACATGTAAGAAGTAGAAAGTACAGTATTTGTGTTCAACATGTAAGAAGTAGAAAGTACAGGTATTTGGGTTCAACATGTAAGAAGTAGAAAGTACAGGTATTTGTGTTCAACATGTAAGAAGTAGAAAGTACAGGTATTTGGGTTCAACATGTAAGAAGTAGAAAGTACAGGTATTTGTGTTCAACATGTAAGAAGTAGAAAGTACAGGTATTTGTGTTCAACATGTAAGAAGTAGAAAGTACAGGTATTTGTGTTCAACATGTAAGAAGTAGAAAGTACAGGTATTTGTGTTCAAAATGTAAGAAGTAGAAAGTACAGGTATTTGTGTTCAACATGTAAGAAGTAGAAAGTACAGGTATTTGAGTTCAACATGTAAGAGTAGAAAGTACAGGTATTGGTTCAAAATGTAAGAAGTAGAAAGTACAGGTATTTCTGTTCAACATGTAAGAAGTAGAAAAGTACAGGTATTTGTGTTCAAAATGTAAGAAGTAGAAAGTACAGGTATTTGTGTTCAAAATGTAAGAAGTAGAAAGTACAGGTATTTGTGTTCAACATGTAAGAAGTAGAAAGTTCAGGTATTTGTGTTCAACATGTAAGAAGTAGAAAGTACAGGTATTTGGGTGCAACATGTAAGAAGTAGAAAGTACAGGTATTTGTGTTCAACATGTAAGAAGTAGAAAGTACAGGTATTTGGGTGCAACATGTAAGAAGTAGAAAGTACAGGTATCTTTCATTGTGTTTTTGTGTTCAAAATGTAAGAAGTATAAAGTACAGGTATTTCTGTTCAACATGTAAGAAGTAGAAAGTACAGGTATTTGTGTTCAACATGTAAGAAGTAGAAAGTACAGGTATTTGTGTTCAACATGTAAGAAGTAGAAAGTACAGGTATTTGTGTTCAACATGTAAGAAGTAGAAAGTACAGGTATTTGTGTTCAACATGTAAGAAGTAGAAAGTACAGGTATTTGTGTTCAACATGTAAGAAGTAGAAAGTACAGGTATTTGGGCAACATGTAAGAAGTAGAAAGTACAGGTATTTGTGTTCAAATGTAAGAAGTAGAAAGTACAGGTATTTGGTTCAACATGTAAGAAGTAGAAAGTACAGGTATTTGTGTTTTTGTGTTCAAATGTAAGAAGTAGAAAGTACAGGTATTTGTGTTCAACATGTAAGAAGTAGAAAGTACAGGTATTTGTGTTCAACATGTAAGAAGTAGAAAGTACAGGTATTTTGTTCAACATGTAAGAAGTAGAAAGTACAGGTATTTGTGTTCAAATGTAAGAAGTAGAAAGTACAGGTATTTGTGTTCAACATGTAAGAAGTAGAAAGTACAGGTATTTGGTTCAACATGTAAGAAGTAGAAAGTACAGGTATTTGTGTTCAACATGTAAGAAGTAGAAAGTACAGGTATTTGGGTTCAACATGTAAGAAGTAGAAAGTACAGGTATTTGTGTGTTCAAATGTAAGAAGTAGAAAGTACAGGTATTTGTGTTCAACATGTAAGAAGTAGAAAGTACAGGTATTTGTGTTCAACATGTAAGAAGTAGAAAGTTCAGGTATTTGTGTTCAACATGTAAGAAGTAGAAAGTACAGGTATTTGTGTTCAAAATGTAAGAAGTAGAAAGTACAGGTATTTGTGTTCAACATGTAAGAAGTAGAAAGTACAGGTATTTGTGTTTGTGTTCAAAATGTAAGAAGTAGAAAGTACAGGTATTTGTGTTCAACATGTAAGAAGTAGAAAGTACAGGTATTTGTGTTCAACATGTAAGAAGTAGAAAGTACAGGTATTTGTGTTCAACATGTAAGAAGTAGAAAGTACAGGTATTTGTGTTCAACATGTAAGAAGTAGAAAGTACAGGTATTTGGTTCAACATGTAAGAAGTAGAAAGTACAGGTATTTGTGTTGGTTCAAATGTAAGAAGTAGAAAGTACAGGTATTTTGTTCAACATGTAAGAAGTAGAAAGTACAGGTATTTGTGTTCAACATGTAAGAAGTAGAAAGTACAGGTATTTGTGTTCAACATGTAAGAAGTAGAAAGTACAGGTATTTGTGTTCAACATGTAAGAAGTAGAAAGTACAGGTATTTGTGTTCAACATGTAAGAAGTAGAAAGTACAGGTATTTGTGTTCAACATGTAAGAAGTAGAAAGTACAGGTATTTGGTTCAACATGTAAGAAGTAGAAAGTACAGGTATTTGTGTTCAACATGTAAGAAGTAGAAAGTACAGGTATTTGGGTGCAACATGTAAGAAGTAGAAAGTACAGGTATTTGTGTTCAAAATGTAAGAAGTAGAAAGTACAGGTATTTGTGTTCAACATGTAAGAAGTAGAAAGTACAGGTATTTGTGTTCAACATGTAAGAAGTAGAAAGTACAGGTATTTGTTCAACATGTAAGAAGTAGAAAGTACAGGTATTTGTGTTCAACATGTAAGAAGTAGAAAGTACAGGTATTTGTGTTCAACATGTAAGAAGTAGAAAGTACAGGTATTTGGTTCAACATGTAAGAAGTAGAAAGTACAGGTATTTGTGTTCAACATGTAAGAAGTAGAAAGTACAGGTATTTGGTTCAACATGTAAGAAGTAGAAAGTACAGGTATCTTTCATTGTGTTTTTGTGTTCAAAATGTAAGAAGTAGAAAGTATAGGTATTTGTGTTCAACATGTAAGAAGTAGAAAGTACAGGTATTTGTGTTCAACATGTAAGAAGTAGAAAGTTCAGGTATTTGTGTTCAACATGTAAGAAGTAGAAAGTACAGGTATTTGTGTTCAAAATGTAAGAAGTAGAAAGTACAGGTATTTGTGTTCAACATGTAAGAAGTAGAAAGTACAGGTATCTTTCATTGTGTTTTTGTGTTCAAAATGTAAGAAGTAGAAAGTACAGGTATTTGTGTTCAACATGTAAGAAGTAGAAAGTACAGGTATTGTGTTTTTGTGTTCAACATGTAAGAAGTAGAAAGTACAGGTATCTTTCATTGTGTTTTTGTGTTCAACATGTAAGAAGTAGAAAGTACAGGTATTTGTGTTCAACATGTAAGAAGTAGAAAGTATAGGTATGTGTGTTCAACATGTAAGAAGTAGAAAGTTCAGGTATTTGTGTTCAAATGTAAGAAGTAGAAAGTACAGGTATTTGTGTTCAACATGTAAGAAGTAGAAAGTACAGGTATTTGTGTTCAAAATGTAAGAAGTAGAAAGTACAGGTATTTGGGTGCAACATGTAAGAAGTAGAAAGTACAGGTATCTTTCATTGTGTTTTTGTGTTCAAAATGTAAGAAGTAGAAAGTTCAGGTATTTGTGTTCAACATGTAAGAAGTAGAAAGTACAGGTATTTGTGTTCAACATGTAAGAAGTAGAAAGTTCAGGTATTTGTGTTCAACATGTAAGAAGTAGAAAGTTCAGGTATTTGTGTTCAACATGTAAGAAGTAGAAAGTACAGGTATTTGTGTTCAACATGTAAGAAGTAGAAAGTACAGGTATCTTTCATTGTGTTTTTGTGTTCAAAATGTAAGAAGTAGAAAGTACAGGTTTTTGTGTTAATTCAATTATGTCTGAGCTCGACAATTGATAATATTGCACATATGAGTTTTGAGCTGTAGTATGTTGTGTGTATGTGTATGATGTTTCCTCTAAAACTCAGTGATTGATTCATTCATAAGAATCAATCACTGAGTTTTAGAGGAAACATCTATTAAATAACAAATAATATAATTTAGCACCGCCAACCGTTTGAAAACATGACTCAGGCTGTTGATCTATTTTTTGAGGTTCACCTCCTTCTATAAAAGCTTTCTTGTGGATTGTTTGCCTGGAGGTTTTCTTGAATCTCTTCCTGGTTGTTCTGCCTCTTTTTCATTGTGAGTGTCTCTGTGTCTGTTTGTGGATGTTTTTTTCTCTTAGTCATTGATTTGGTCTCTTTGTGGTCATTTTGAATCTCTTCCTGGTTGGTATTGAATAACTTTGTGAAGTCTTGGGGGGGGGAATGCTTAAACTTTGTACCCTGCAGGGCCGTTCTGTGATGGAGGCACATATCACATGGTGTTACAGTATTCATTTGCATCTTGACATCTTCCTGTCATTACATTTTTAATTAGAGCGCTTTTACAGGTGCTCAAAAGCTTTACAATTACACATTACACATATTAGACATGTAAGAGTCATTACTGTGGACATTACCCACAGGAGCAGATGCGGGTAAAGCCCAAGGACACAACGGCCTGACGCAGTGGCGGCCGAGGCGGGTTTCGAACTTGGAGTTCACCAACGCCCCTTGATCTGATGATCAACGCTCAACCGTCCCAAGCTAAGTAAGCTCAGTTCTTTCCCATTTTGTTTCCCTGCAAACGTTTCACTGTGTTAGACGATGCAGGTGTTCTGTTCATTTAACCTGTAGTACAACATCTGGACTCTTTTCCCATTCAGTGGCAGGTAAATAAGGATCTCACAAACCTGACATAGGCTGCCTGAAACGCCTCCATTACACTCCTTTGTTTACTTCAGTAACATAGTGACATCACTATGTAACACTTGCGCTTCCATTGGCTAGCGCTCCAACACATTGTACGTGATATAGGCTAAGGGGCGAGAGATATCTAAACGGTTGACCAATCACAACAGAGCCGGCCAGCTAAATACAAATATGAACCTGAAAATGAGCAGAACAGGGTCCCTTTAATAAATCTGCGCTTATTTCCGTAAATTTCTAGAACAGAAATGTGAACATTGGTTGGTTCAAAATGCTGTCTACTTTGTTGACACATAATAGTAAAATGTTTTTAATGAGGGAATTTGGGATTTCTCCTTTGATCACTCCATAAATTAGAAAAGACTGTCGTCAACAGCCATGAAGAATAACACGTTTTTTTAGATGGTATGCATATGGTGCATTATCCAATGATTTAAAAATACAAAGAAAGTGAAATGAATACCTCAATGACTATTAGATCCCCCCCACACTAGCCTAAAAGAACACACGTCATGGAAGCAAAATAGCCCAAACTCTTAAAATTAAACATTGTACTTAAGTGTTGCCTGTTGTGTCTTTATTAAATAACGTTCCATCTTTAAATGTAAGCAAAAACCAAAAATGAAGAGAGTGTGAGAAGCCTTGTGACTGGCAACTGAAAATGAAAGTCGATAGTGTTCTTAGAAAAGTGCTTGAAAAGAGAGGAGAGTTTGTTGGTGGGATACACACACTCACTGCACACACACACACACACACACACACACACACACACACACACACACACACACACACACACACACACACTGCACACACACTCACTGCACACACACACACACACACACACACACACACTCACTGCACACACACACACACTCACTGCACACACACACACACACACACTCACTGCACACACACACACACACACACCCACACACACACCACACTCACTGCACACACACACACTCACTGCACACACACACACACACACACACACACACTCACTGCACACACACACACACACACACACACACCCTCACTGCACACACACACACACACACACCACACCACACCACACACACACTGCACACACACACACTCACTGCACACACACACACACACACACACACACACACACAACACACCACACACTGCACACACACACACACACACACACACACACACACACATACACACACACACACACACACACACACACACACACACACACACACAGAGAGGGATTGTGCAGCCGTGCCCCTCCGCTAAGCAGCTGCCACATATATAAGGAGGGCAGTGTGTTAACCCTAACCCAAACCCCACCCCTTGTTCTGCCAACACTTTTTTGGCCTACGTGGCTTGTTGTATATCCTCTTTAATAAGGATACCTGTGACACCAGCACTTTATGATGTTGCTTCATGGACTTTGTCCCTCAACTTAGCAATACAAGTGAAACAAAAACGATTCAGACATTCTCTTTGCTGCGTTATTTTCACCCAAAAACTTCAGTCGTCTTAATTTGCTTGAAATTAGAAATATAACTGAAATAAGGAAGTATTTAGTGTATTATAATCACACACAAAAAATGGTGGTGATACATGGTGGTTGTGTTAGCGCAGACGCCAGTTATTAATACTCTGAAGTTGTACCTTATAAAAAAGAGCCAACGTGCCTCAGTTCCAGTGGCGAGCCGTCAGGGCCGTCTAGGCCCTCTGTGAGGGCCTAAGATATTCTAAAAAATAATTTTGAAAACATAAAAAAAAAACATTTTTTTAAAAATATATTATTTTGCTACATTTTTCATTAGTTTTACCAAAATAACTTGATTTAATTGTATTTCAATTTTAAAATAACATTTCCAAAGAAATAAATCCTTCGAATCTGCCTGTTCAGTTTCTGTTGGAATGTGAAGGGTTAAATGCCGTCTCTGCGAGTTACTGTGAAGACGGGAGAGCTTGTTGGTCCCTCTCTACATTCACAGAGGGCCAGCTATAGGCCCAATTCCAAACCACTCCCTCGACCCTACCCCTCCGTGATGGAGTGAACTCCGTCTGTAGCCACACTCGCAGCTCAACGAGGCTCCCTCCTGTCAGATGGAGGGAGTAAATACAGCAGCAAGCTTTGGGACGGCCTCCCCTCTCTCCGGCAGAAACAGGAAATGCCGTAACTGTATGTAACAACGGTTTCAAATCAGCATCTCTTAGACAAAAAGTTTAAATGAATAACTCAAATAAAACTCCAAACATCTTTCATTGTGTTTCAAAGCTCTTTTAGTTTTAAATCTGATGTTTATAAGCTTCTTAGTTTTTGCAACGGTCTGTAAATATACACAACTTTATAATAAAATGCACACATTTACCTTTTTCTAGACTAAACACAGGTATGATCCTAAGTTAAAAACATATGAGGTTATCATGAGGTTGTTAACATCGCAATTTATCAGTGGATGTTTGCTGGAACTACTTGTAAACAGCGTGTTTCCTGACGGACACACACAGCGTGACTCCGGTCAGGTAGAGACCGGTGTCAGTGTCAGTACCAGGCTGCTTCTCAGGTCGATTAAATGAAATCCTTGCTTCCCTCACTTGCGTCGTTTCCCTGCGTCTAGTCCCTCTCACCAGGGAAGCATGGAGGGACGCAAGGAAACCACGAGAAGCAGGGAAATGAGTTTTAAGAGCAATGGGACGTCCTTTCCTCCGGAGCGTCACGTGAAGCGACGTCCGTTTGTGATGACGCTGCACAGCTGATCATCTGACAGCAGCCAGCCCTGTCCCCGTTATTTCCACAAACACCCCCGCCTCTGTTAGTGCACATTTACTGACACAAACATTTGTATCATCTGTTGTAGATCCCAATAAATAAAATAAAATAAGAACTCATTCTCAAAAAAGATAAACGCCATTCTTAAAATGTATAAACGAACAATAGTTTGATTCAATATTGATTAGAGTGCACAAAATAAATAAAATAATTGAGAGAACAAAAAGAGATATGTTATCTATCAAACCCCAGTTAGATTAACATTCATTGGATTGCACACTTTGTTTGTTTGTTTGGATATGTAGCACATTAACATTTCAATAGCACTTAATGACTGACTGAATGGAAATGACAATAAATGAAAATGTAAAACGAAAAAAGCGATCATGAAAATGTTTCCAACAAATGAATAAAATGATTTTTGACCACTTTGTTGTTCAGATATATCACATATTTGTAACTAAATGAAACATGAATTTAAACAAAACACGGTATAAACTGAGGAGTGACTCCCGTGAGGTTCATGTATTTTCTTCACTCTGCTCTCATGTCAAGAAGCATCAGATCAGTGCATGCACTGCATCGTCCAATCAGTGAGCGATACACAGTAAGGGGGCGGGGCGAGTATCTGAGGATTTCATCGGAGGATGGTCTGGTGGTTCCTCGATTATCGCTCCTCTATTATCGCTCCTCGCTCCTCGATCCTCGGTCCTCCAGCAGAAATAAGAGCCATGGGACGGTACTCAAGATGGCGCAGGCAAATCAACTTCCGGTGAGACCGAGGACCGAGGAGCGAGGAAATGAAAATAGTCGACCTGAGAAGCAGCCTCAGTGTCAGTACCAGATATGTTCGGGTGTATTTCCGTCGCATCCGTCATCCGTCATATCCGTCATATACTCACCGCCCTCTGCTCCCAGCGCTATGCTGTCACACACCGGCCGTCTGCGGAACTGCAGCCGGAGGAACTCGGTACAGCTTGTTATGTGTATGTACTTAATTATTTACAATTACAAAATATATATATTCTTCGTTACTTTAGCCAACACTTTTATAATATATAAGCCTGATCATGTCGTTGAAAGCAAGTACAGATGTTCTCCCTTTTCCACAGTTCTGTGTGAACTTCATCGAAGGCAGATGCTTTGCTTCTGCACCAGTTTAGCAGAAGTCTGTTTTGTAAGACTGGTTTTGTTGCAGTCTGTTCATGCTATGTGTTTCTTGCGTAAGACTATATACACACGGAACACATGTATTACAGGGCTGTACCCAGTGTGCTTCATAAAACATTTTTGAAGCTTATTTTTTTTTAAATTAAGCCGTTTCCATGTTATAACAGCATCTCGTTAAATCAATATCGGAAACAATAATTGTCTTTTTGTGGTTATTTAAATGTAATTTATGGTGCTGTTAGAGTGCTTATAGACTGACCCGTTAATACAGATGCCCCCCCCCTTTGTGTGCGGTGAGCTGGAGAGAAGGCAGTCTATTTATTGTGGTGAAAATGTTGTTTAAAAAAAACCCTAACATATATGGATTGAATCAGAATATTGTGTTGGATCAAAACATATTGTACATTTTGAGAATTCTTACATCTATTACAATACATTTTGAGCTTTGGACAATGTTTGGATCAAACGAGCCAGAAACAACCTTAAGCAGCCACCACTGGAATATTATTGCAATAATATTATAATACTAGTAGCCTTATATTAGTGTAGCCTAATATTGATGGACAAATATTTAGAAATAAATCTGGTTCTGCCTGCCTGCCTCATCGCACTCTGCCCTGCTGCATTACCATGTATAGTATTTACATTCATAATGATCCTTTTTTGTTGCAGAGCTTTAGAGGCTTTAAGAGACGAACTGTCAATGATGCCAACTTGGCGACCTACAAACTAGATATAGCAATCTTGGAGCTATTGCGGCTAGCTACTTTCATTGGAAAGAGTCTCTAATTTTTTGTATGTATATATTTAATATATCCATCCCAAGCTTACCTACCCAACTGAATGAATTCACACATTCAAGTAAATAGAAAGACAGCACAGCATTCAAGTGTTTATTGAGAATTTGAACTTCAACGTTAATGGAAAAAGCTCCAAACTTTTCTCTACAGCCCTTAGTATCAAGAAATCCTTCTAGTTCCTTTTACATGTGGATAGGAAAACAGCACAGATTGTTCAGAATATATGAGGAAGCCATCAGGGAAGCAGCATGACGAGACCCAAGGCAGGACTGCAGAGACAGGTTCAGCCACGACCCGAAGTCCACGACCCGAAGTCCACGACGGGCAGCGTCCGGGAAAACCAAACTTGAAGGTAAGATATCAAAGGATGATCTTCATTAATTGCAGTGACAATTTAGTCTATTCTGACATTTGTTTGTGTGAGTTAATCTTTACCTATGATATCTGGTTGCAGAAGGGACTGCAATAGCCTGGATGTTGGTCATCAGAGTAGATGCCCTGCAATTCTCCTCTTTTACCTTTCCCAACATATCCTATGAATAGAAAAAGAAAATATTGTAATTGAATCACACTAGGACCACAACACACTAAATATGTAATGACACATAAACATTATTATCCAGAATAAGAAGTCTACCTGGTTTGCAGTTTTTGTAAGGCTCCAAGCATCCACGGCAGGTGTCAATGGTGTACATGACGTTGAAATCCTGCTTGTATGAAGCAGAGAACAAACTCCATGTAGCAACACCTGTGTAAAACAAGCATTTCAATAGAGCCATTAAAAATATGCATAGACACCACAGCTGTCGTATACTGCTGCACCTTCACTGAATCACTTACTCTCAAGCCAGCGAAAGTGGGCCCCTCTTCTGAAAGACACAGTGGACATTGTGTCTCTGAAGGTGGTACACACTAGAGTGAGTGATGAGTACGCTTTGTCACCTTCCTGGAGAACCACTTCCATCAGAAGGTCCGAGAGAAGACAGTTTGGCAGCTGTGAAGTATTGGTCAGACTAGATCAAACATATTTAACAACACATTGACTAGACCAGGGGTGGCCAACCCGCGGCTCTCGAGCCGCATGCGGCTCTTTGCCTAGTTTCATGCGGCTCTTCAGTTCATATCGAATTTTATATGTGTGAGTTTGGGAGAGAGACACTGACTCCTTACTAGTGTTGCACGGTGTACCGATACTTGAAAGGTACCGCGATACCCTGCCGTTAAAAACGTTACGATTCCTCCGTTTCATTAGTATCGGTACTTTAAGAATGACGGGGAAAAGTACTCCGGTGAGAAAGCGCCGTTTTAATAAGAGCCGTGTGTGTTCAGCGCTCTGCTTCCACTCCCTGCACTGCAGCCGTGCCTGCAGTCCCTCCCTCTCAAGCACGCTCTAAGTGCCCTCCCCTCTCAAGCACGCTCTAAGTGCCTCCCCTCTCTCGTGCACGCGCTACCTGCCAGAGCATGTGAGAAAACGAGAAGCATGGCTGCAAGTGGGAGTGCAACTGCCGCTGCGCCTCGGCTTGTTAACAAAAAAGACGCCAGGAGCGAAATTTGGAAGTATTTGAGCCATATCTCTGACAGTGAGGGCAAGCCTACGGACACCACGAGGCCTGTCTGTAAGACATTTATTAATTGTATTTAATATGAATTCTTGTCATTTATTTTATTTATTGTTCTCATTGTTTAAACGTTTGTGTTATGGTTATGGTTCTGGTGTGAAATAAAGCACAATAATTACATTTAAGACCGTTTCCCTTTTTTTAAGAAAATATCGAAAAAGAATCGGAATCGCAATTCTTGACTTGGTATCAAAACCAAAATGTTGGTATCGTGACAACACTAGCTACTCCTGACAGTTAAACCTGATATTTAGTAGGTCTGTTAAGTATTGAATGCTGATAATTCTGACGTAATTTGGCCGGTCAAAGTTGTTTGGGCTCGGATAAAATCGCTCCGTTACTTTCGTCCCGTGTTATGTATGTTGTGTATGTGTGGTGTCAGTGTGAGACGATGACAGCGCGTATAATTTTGATGTGGCCCAAGAGCCAATCACAATAATACCTGCGATGCAGTGAACCAATCACCTTTGAGGGGGGGGGGAAACCTATCGTTGATTAAACATTATCCAGTGTTTCCCCTGCCATTGTCTTGGAGGGGCACTGCGCCCCGCCAACGGAGCCCCGCCAACAGAGCCCCGCGCCCCCCCTGAAATTCAAGGTGTTTAAAAAATATATATATATACTTTTTTTTTTAAAATATATATATAGCACCAAATTGCAAATAATCTATAACTACTGTCACTTTTCACATTGAACATGTGCTCTTTTATTAAATAAACTAAACGCTTTCATTTTAAGTTGTGAGTTTAGTGTTTTTGACCCTAAGAAACACTGATGCATTAATCAATAACAATAGTCCACAGCTCCTCTCTCTGCTCCAGAGGATTTAAAAAAAATATATCCCAATGCCACAAAAATGCATCAGTGACGTGGTTGAAATCTTGTCTCCAGAAAACAAAAAACTGAAACAAGCGGTATCAGTGACTGTGTGTTTGATGTGGCTCTTTGCAACATAGAAAAAATGTGGCTCTTAACCTCTGACTGGTTGGCCACCCCTGGACTAGACTGTTGCCAGCACAATCGAAATACCAAGATTCTTTGGGCTTCAGGTAGCAAAAATACACATTTTTAATATTAATGTTGAATATATCACACACATTTTTCTTATGTTTTGTTATTCTTCTCCTTGAGGTAAAAAACAGCTATCAATAAAGTTAAAAAAAGCAGTGAGACATAATAGTTGGAAATTCTGCCGTGATCATAGGTCGTTTTTTAAACAAAAAACAGTTACTGCTTCACTGAAAAGATATTACCTCCAATATGAAGCACATGTCGGACTTTTGAAACTGGACCTTTGAAGGAAAATATAAGGTGTGGGTCATGTGATTGTTTAATTACATGTGTATACAATTATCAATATTGATATGTATGCATGTGTTAAATAATCTGGATTGTTACATTTCTTTATCACAAACAGGAGTGTGCCTATTGACCTCATGTTCTGTCTTTTGCTTCTTTGAGACCCTGTACACTGGCTCCAGTGCCCCTTTGAGCAGCTCTTCGGCCTCATTGGTCCAGTAATAAAACCTCTGTCCGTGGCTATAAAAATCACATAATATCAGGATGAAAATGTAAATCAGTGTCAAAGAAACTGTTGTCTATAAAGTAACATTTAAAATGTATGATTTACCCTTCAATCTGGTACCGTTCCATGAGCATAATGCACCACCATTTCCGGATCTGTGCTATGTCCCGCTAAAAGAAAATGTAACAATAATAAAGTTGAAAATGAATGGAACCTCATCATTTGTCTACTCAATGTTAGCACCCTCTTCCCCCTGAAATACTAACTCAGAGGATAAATACTGACCTCGGTAAACCAAAGTGGAGCATCTGTGCTGAAGTTGAGTGCATACTGTGAAGGGATAAAGATCTGTTAAATTATGAGTTTCAAAAACTAACAAAACCCCTTAAAAAAAAGTGTCAAGGGAGGAATTTACCATCAGTATGAAGACACCACAGTCATTGCCCGTGGTTTGGTGAGGCAAACCCTGTAAGAATTTGGAATATAACAGTGATGTTCATGGTCAAATGGAAAATAAAGACATGTGAAAGCAGGTGTATGAGATGGTGGAGAAATGTACCTTGACGTCTCTGCCGAACTTTACTGTCCACTGACCTGGAGCAATGCGGTGCGCTAGGTCACTGTCAAAAGAAATGATAAGACATGGGAATTGATTTGGTGAAGGAACGCTATACTCAATATAATTCATGTTTTTGGATTTCCTTACATTGAACTATTGCATGCCTTAAAAGAGGAAAGTTATGAAAGCCACTGAACGGGGCTAAAATAAAACAAACAAAGCTGAACTTGAAAACAACCTTTGAACAAGGCTTATAACAAAATGAACATTATAATTCATAGCATCCTGTTGCAGACTCTTTTTCTTTTGGTTCCACTAAGGACACTCCAGACTTTGAGGAAATGGAGATATATTATAAATGAATTTGATCAGATTCAGACCCCTGGTCTACAAGATGGTTACTGCAGTATTAGAATACTATAAACTATTTAGAACTCCCATACAAGCCACAGAACGGTGGGGGTAATCATGTTACAAAAACCTAAATATGTCCTTGTAGGAATTGTCCCCAAAGCCATCTGGCTTAAGAGGGTCGCGCAAATATAACTCTCTCTTTGCTGGCTTGATCACCTGTCAACCATTGACAAAATAGCTGAAATTAGACATAATTAAACACCAGAAGAAAACCACACAGCACAACTTATGTTCATTTTGTACATGCTGGTGAGATCATTTGGAACAGACTCACGCAAAGCAAATAGTGATCTGCCTTTCCTTGCTGCCGACTCCAGGCAGGGATGAAAACCATGTCCTTGGTGGCCAATTGGTCATCCTAGTATTTTAAACAAGGGATTTTAAGTTGCTGTATATCAATTTCAAGAAACATAGGTCTCAAGCAACAGGAACTTACTGGAAAACTGGCCAACGCGTCAGCTGTTTTGAACTTCCAGGTAGGAACCACATACATATCCACGATGTATATATCTTTGCCCTATATTGATAGTTTTTCAAAAAAAATGAAATCTTCATAGAAGTATGTTCAACAACAAGAGACAACCACACTTCACGAGATTGGAGTTTCACCACTAAACAGCTATTTAGAAAATATGTGTTATTCAAAAGAAAAAAGCAGGCCAATGATGTCTGTTGAAAACCGTACATGTCTTTGGGTGGCTTCTTGTACCATCTTCAGGCACGTGTTTCCAATCTGAAACAGTAACAACAGTAAGTTACCTGTGCCATTTATTTGAGACAAGATGAAGTTGGGAGGAAAGCTCAAGTATACCTACATTTGACTCCATGCACTGAGGAAGACCCAGGCTCCAAAAGTCCTCTCTGGTCAGGCACACATCACCCTCCTTCACAATGACCTCTGCTCCAGGCCTATTGTGGTCTAGCACATAGCTGAGCTGCAAATAACAGATTGCAAAACATACTTCAAGCCAATAGAAAACATAGAAAAATTAAAATCAAAACAATGCACCTCCATCACTGTGCATGAAGTAAACATATATCTACCAGCTTGTCTTGAATCGGATGTAGATCCTTTGCGTATTTCGCACCAGAGAGGGCATACTGGTGGTCAGCAACAGACCCCTCCGAATCCAACTTCGGTTCAGCTGTTATTAGATAGACAAAAAATAAACAGTATTATTGAAGTACCACACATGAAGTATACCTAAAATGTGTCCTTGTATTGATAATCAAAATACCTCTCAACATAGGCCTGATAAAGGGCTTCAGCTGAGACACATTCACACTCTGTCTCAGCTGAGCTCCTGTTGAGCTCAACAGGGTTGCCACACCCTTGTTGGTGATTGAGGAAACCACATAAGGGCCAAACCAGTTGCACTCCAGTTTTCCACCTTTTCGGCCCTCCTTCCTCTTATTCGCTCTTAGGACCTCATCTCCAACGTTAATCAGGAAAGATTTCACATTCTTTCCCTTGCGTTTTTCAAAAGAGATTTTCTGTCTCTGTTGTGCTATTTGGATGTTCTGGTAAATCTGAGAAAGATATGTAACAGTTATCATTTACAGTCCTTAACATACGCTTGCATTTTTTAGGAGTTATTATGTTTTAAATATTGCCATTTTATTCTCACCTTCGAGTGCAAATCTGCAATGGTTGCAGCCTTTGCCTCAAGCTGCTGTTCTGCCTCATCAGCAGGCACCAAAACAGAGGTATAATCCCTGTCATTGACTGTAGCATTTATAACACCCGGGACGCGAGGGTGCCTCCCAAACTGGGCAAAATAGGGCGTGCACTTGGTTGACCTCTGAAAGCATAAAAATTCCTTTTAGTATCTCTGTTGAGTATTGTTTCCATCTGCATTTGTTACAACATTGTACCTGCTTTGAGGTGATAATGCTCGCCACAATGCCCCTCAGATGTAAATCCCAGTCATTCTGGTCCTCTCCACAGTACTTTGCAAGTGCTTTTTTTATGTTTTGGTTTGTACGCTCATCTTGGCCATTGCACTGGGGATGGTACGCTGAAGTGATGCAGTGTTTTACACCCAGTGCATCAAAAACACCACGGTTGACCTGCAGATGGTTTAGTGTACACCAATTACCAAATTACCTGAAAAATCGTATTACATTGTTACACATAACACATACACTGTATTAGATAGATTATTATACCTCATTGACAAATTCCCGTCCTTGGTCGGTAATGATCTTCTCGACAAGACCGAAATCGAGAAGAATATTTACAATCTTTTTTGAGACCTCAACAGCTGTTTTGTGGTAGAGCGTTTTTGCTACCACCCACTTTGTGAACAGATCAGTCGCTGTTAGAATGTATCTGCAATATAAAATGCAGAATGTTGTAAATACATACAGAATCACTGAAAATGATTTCCTTTCTTTTTAAACCAGATTCTTCACGTTTAGAACCTTTAAAGGAGGTTACACATGCTTCAGCCCATCATGATAGTACCTTTTGCCCTTAGCAGTGGAGGGAAGTGGGCCAATGAGATCCACACCAAGGACAGTCCATGCCTCGGGAACATGAATGGGATGCAGTACGGGTGCAACCGTTTTAATGACCTCGTGTTGCTGGCAGCGGGGACACTCATCAACCTTAGCAAATATCATACATTTTCAATCAGCAAAACAAAAAACTTTAGGTATAAAAATGATAGAACAGAGAAAACTTTCAGAGGAGACAGAATTAAACTGTTAACGTTCTGAAATATGTTTTCTCTGCTCTGATGGAGCTCAAACTGTCTCACTCTGTTTCAATGTACACATACAACACATTTCTGTAGATCAATAATCAGTCAGTCAGTCAAAAACTCCCACCCATTTCTTCACGTCCTCCCGCATAGTGGACCAGTGGTACGTTGCCAAAACCTTCTCGGTGGTGCGCCTTCTCCCTGCATGACCTCCGGAACCCAGGTTATCATGGCACTCCTTCAGGACATTGATAATTTGGTCCTTGGTGCACACAACCATCCTCTCATTGTCCTTGTATGTGTAGTACAAATCTCCAACTGGCACAACAGGAACAAAAAAACAATCATTTAGACATGTGTAGAGATGACATTATGACTAAAAGCTGTTGAAGAAATCCAGTGGCAAATGTGGTTTAGACGTAACAACTACAGTAATGTAAAGTGTGTATAAAAAGAAAAAGGAGAAACAAGCTGTGGAGTCCTTGCGATTTACTGAAAAATGTTGGAATTGCAATATGATAAACCATTAGAGGTATGATCACTTTTGCACCAAAAAACACCATTAGATAAATAGATAGATAGATATATACTTTATTGATCCCTATAAGTAAAGGGATGTGATGATGTCACATGTACAGGGGGTTTATACCTCATAATAAAAACGTATGTTCGTGACTTAACCATGGTCTTATTCTGTTACTTACCTTTGATCAGGTATTGTTTGGATGCCCTCCGAATGAACGCCTTCCTTTTATCATGCTTTTCAGCGGCGATGGTGAGATTGTGGTAACCACCATTGAGCACGTACTGCTTTATCTCAGCATAAAAGCTCTCCATTTCTGTCATGAAAGTTAAAATGTTCGCGGTAATTATGGGGAAGCGGAGGGATCTAGATCGTTCACACATGATCATCCGTCATATCCGTCATATACTCACCTCCCTCTGCTCCCAGCGCTCTGCTGCCACACACCGGCCGTCTGCGGAACTGCAGCCGGAGGAACTCGGGACAGCTTGTTATGTGTGGGGTGCTATGGTGGGGTCCCATGTACTTGTGCACATAAATAATGTTTCTAATTATTTACAATTAAAAAATATATATATTCTGCGTTACTTTAGCCAACACTTTTATAAGGCCACTAGATTAGATAATTACGAAATGTGTAGATAGAATACATATATTTCAGGTTGTTATTTTGTCATTATGTTTAATGTTTTATTTACCTTTTAGTATTTTTATATAGTATCTGAACTTTGGAGAGGAGTTGGGAGACACACGACACATCAAATCACATCTACAGATCAAGGCGAAGCGAATGGAAGTACTCCCATACTCCTAGCGTGAAAATGTTTGTGAAAACGTGTGCAAAGTCTACGAAAATCCTAAAAATAAGCTCATATTTGAATTCATCATAAAAAAAAAACACATCATTCAGTAAAAACAAGGCCCCACTGATCATCTACTCTCCGAGACGATTCCAGGGATGTCTGGCTTGAGTTTCGACCACCAGGGAAAGTGGACAAAAGTGCCCGAGATCAGCCTCTTAATTTACCCAGGGCTTAGTGCTTGGCTTTGGGCATGAAAATTCAGGAAACTCCCCTGAGTATTTTATTAAATATCTGAACTTTGGAGAGGAGTTGGGGGACACACGACACATCAAATCACATCTACAGATCAAGACGAAGCTAGTGGAAGTACTCCTAGCGTGTGAAAATGTTTGTGAAAAACGTGTGCAAAGTTTCCGAAAACGGAGCAGTGGCTGTGAAGCTAGCTTTGCGGCTAGCGGTTAGTTGTTATTGTTTGAAGTTGTTGCTATGGAAACAACATGACGGAGAAAAAATTAATATCTTCTACATAATATAATAACGGACAAAGTAAAGAATGAAGTGTACGCTATGCCTGTTTGAAGTTGTTGCTAAGGAAACAACATGACGGAGAAAAAGTATAATCTTCTACATATAATAACGGACAAACTAAAGAATGAAGTGTCGGCTATGTTTAAATGTTCGGAATTTGACCGTGATGGCCCTCTTGAGTTGCCGTAAAATATGACGAATATGACGGATGACGGATGCGACGGAAATACACCCGAACATATCTGGTAGCCCGAACATATCTGGTACTGACACCGGTCTCAAGTCAGCACCGCTGCAGACTCGCTGTTTGAGGGCTTGATAGCCCACTCTACCCTTCCACACTCGTTGCTTTGGAACAGCCCTCAATATGGCGGACCCTCCGCGTGAACCATGTAGTCTAGATGGAAATAGGGGTCCACGCGCACCCCTCGGCATTTTTTATGCCACCTGATTTTTCTTAATCCTTAAAGTGTCTACTTTCAGAATCTGCCAGGTGCCAAGCTGAAATAATGTCCGAAAGGCTCCATTTGTAACCCTTTATTGCACCTAACCCAAAACCGAAACATTAACATTTGATGTAGCAAGAGGCATAACCTTTGAAGTAAACAACATACAGAGACAAATGAATACATTTTTCCATACAATTCTGACCCTAGGAATTCAATGGGATGGTTATTTTTGACATTTGACAACATTTTGACTGTATTTCTGGACAAAAACAGCAAGAAATGACCAAACATGTGTGTATGACCAACTACCTTAATTTCATTTTTTAAAGTGCATAGTGAATATTCGTTCACAATCAGTTTTTTTTGGATAATATTGGGTACCAAGCTGATGATGTTGGTGACCGGGGCTCGGCAGTTGGTTGACAGTTGGTTGCCGTTGGTTACCTGGTACCTGGCTACCTGCAGATGACAGTCTCCCACTGCTTTCTTTGGGAACAATCTCAAGGATTTTCTTAGTAAGTATTATTAATAATTATTATTAACTATTATTAAGATATACCTAATCGTCATATACAAGTAATTCTTCAACAAAAGGTATACAGAAATCACATCTGTAATCTTGACTAAGTAGTGTCGGTAGCTAGCTAAATTGGTAGCTAGCTAAGTTGGTAGCTAGCTGAGTTGATAGGTAGCTAATGTTTTTCAGCATTTTCAGGCTGATTACTCACTACTAACAATAGGGGAAAGGAAAACACATTGTATTATTGACTATAGTGTTGGTAGCTAGCTAAGTTAGTAGCTAGATAATGTTTTTCTTTATTTTCAGTTTGATTACTCATACTAACCATAGGAAAAAGGAAACATTGTATACTTCATCATTTGGTCCTCCTCAGAGTGTTGGTAGCTATCTAATGTTTCTAATTTCTTTATTCAGGCTGATTACTTCATAAACTGCTGAAAAAGGAAACATTGTAACACAGCTGAAGTGCCTCCAAAGAGGATGAGATCGATAACATGTATTTTACATGTCTCAACTTCTGAGTATGGTAATTGTATCATGCTCGGCAAATGCAAGGGGGGGGCAAGCGAGAAGCTATCGTATCTACACAGTGTTCGTGATATGAGACTCTGCGAAACAGCCACCTCACCATACCGCATGAAGGATATTTGTGACCAAATACCATTGACGTTAGAAGGCTTGCCTTTGGATAAAACTGGCTATCATCAAAACTGCTACAAAACCTTCACAGGGAAATTGGATCGTTTAAAAGTGTCAAAGGCTTCTACATCTGGTGAATCATCGTCATCGATAAAGGACTCCCTACGCCATCCCAAATGTCTCTCAAGTCAAACTGAAGGGGCTCGGTGTTCCTTCTTGTTCCCAAATCAGTGTATCTTCTGTGACAAAACAACAACCAAGTGGGAAGACTGAAGAGCTAAAAAAGTTTCAGAGTTGGAAACACAAAGAACCAGCCTGGAAAGTTATCGAACCTAGGGCACAGGAATTGAAGAAAGAGGTTCTTTATCGCAAGGTGCAGGGCAAGGACCTCTTTGCTATGGAAGCTCAGTATCATCCAATATGCAGAAATAACTTCAACAATGAGTACCAAAACCATGAGCGTGGAAGGAAGAGAGGAAAAAAGGCAGCAGACAACATTGACAGCCCTCAGGCCCGGAAAATGGCAGCACATGACAAGTCCTATTGTGTAGTAAAGGTTTACATTCTTAGGAATGTGGTTGAACACAAAGAAGTCGTTCAGCTAAGATCCATGTGCAGCTTGTACAGGAAGACACTGGAAGGTGAATGTTTTCCTAATCCTGAATACCGCAGTGAGAAATTGGCAAGACGTTTACAAGGAGACAAAGACATATCTCGTGAACTCACATTCTCAAAGGTACCACACCATGGTTGTCTTGAGTTGAACCTTATATACAGCTCAAGCATTACTGTAGATGAAGCAGTTAAATGTGCGTACAAACTTGGAACATCTGATCAACTACAAGAAGCAGCACTCACCCTCAATTCTCACATTAAAAAGGCATTCAAAGAGTCAAAGGAGCTACCATGGCCCCCAACTGCACAGGAGCTGGATGCTGTGAAAATGGATGAACTGCTCCCAGAGCATCTTGTACAATTTCTGAGCTCAGTGGTGACTGGGACACTTAATGAAGAAAAGTGTGAGAAGACGCAGAGGCTGGTCTATTCGATTACACAAGATGTGTGTCAAGCAGCAACTAACAGCAAGTGGAAACTCCCAAAGCTCATCTTCCTGTGTGCCACACTTCGGCACCTCTGTCGAAGCAAACAGGTGAGTGATCAGCTAACTTATTGCTTATGAGGTCCTACATTGTCATTGCTCAACTATGCTTCATACAGGTATTTGATATTGATAAAAAAAAACATTTGTTTATCTTTACAGCTCACAACCATCCTTTCACGACTAGGACACTCAGAGACATATGACTTCAGTATGGAACTTGAGACAGCCATGGCCAAGGCTTTTGATGAGATGTCCACCAACCTGACCCCTCAAATCATCACTGGCGAGGGAAACACTGTTTTTCACAGCGAGTGGGACAACCTGAACAGAATCACCACCAACGTTCATGGTTCAAATGTGGTAAACAGTGCCGGGGAATCATGATTCAAGAAGTGAAGGAGAGCCATGTGAGCACCAAGAAAAGGACCCTTCCTCTCTATGACAGGTCATCCAAGATGAGAAGCCTTAAGATCACGCCTCCCGAGACGCTGCCAGAGCTGGCATTCAAAAGAGTTGGCCCCAAATTCCCCAAGAATGCCAACTTTACCCCTCCTGCTGAGAACCAAGTGTCATATGATGCCTCAATGTTGCAGTACAACACCCACCTCCTCAGCAGATGGTTGAGCAGCCAGGGCAAGCAGCAAGTGCCTGGATTTGGTGGTTTTATTTCAAGCACAGGGAAAGTGCCTCCTAGGAAATCTACCATCGACTTTTACATCCCCATCAACCAGCCCATTACAGACAACGCAGTAGTGTATGAGCTACTCAAGAGATCCGAGGCAGCAACTGAGGAGGTTGGACAGCCATACACCATCAACACATTTGACCTGGGAGTCGTCATGAAAGCCTGTCCTATAGTATGGAAGTACGAGGAGAAATTCAGTAAGCATGTGAACCTCATTGGCAAGTTCCACACAGCCAGACTCACTGGGCGCAAGTGTCTTGGAGCTGGCTACGCCGAGATCCTCATACAGGGTGTCCGCGGGGTCTTCAAAAGTATTAAAAATTAATAAATCAATTTAGCGAAAATTAAGGCTATTAAAAAGTATTAAACGGCATTTTCCAAGGTATTAAGAAGGTCCACAGCAACGACAACATTAAACACCCTTTAATTTACTGAAACAACATGTCGGGAAACCCCCTCAAGGTGGCCCCATGCATAGCGTGCCATAACATGCTGCTTCTTATTTTAAGTTTCGTTGCCTTGCTCCGCTCTGTGGGGGGGTGGGTTTATCTGCTGGTGGACTACCTGAGAGATATACAGCAGGAGAACACGCCGTCCACCGCGGAGAATAAACAGGAGGGCAACCATGACAACCATGCTCCGGGGTCTTCTTCGCTGCTTTTGGTGTATTTTGTGGCGGCAGCAGCGCCACTTACAGGCCTGGCATATGTACTACAGCGTTTCCAGCATTTCCAGCGGTCTAGTGTGAACGGACACGTTAATGAATCGAATGCGTGTGAACGGAAGACTTTTTTGCGTTTGCGTATGCGTTTTACTGTATGCGTCCTCTTGGGGCTGGGGTCTAAGCCAAACTATATCAGGTCACAGAGATCTGCTATTTTAAAGTAAGTTCAACACATATCGACCCTAAATATAGTCTATATTAAGAACGAGAAAAGTCTTAACATATATATCATTTTTTGTAAACATAAGACAAATGTGTGAGGGTGATGACGTCAGAGCATCGTCCTATGTGCCGGGCTTAGCCCCGGACAGCCCCAGCCCAATGTAACCCTTGGGTATTTGTGAGGGAGCTCCTATATGGCATTACCCCGCTGAAGCTCACCAAAGTTTAATATATTTCATAGTTCAAAGTTTTGTCAATTGTTTTGTTTATTGGTCAAATACTGGTTTCTAATGGTTTCTGAGGAGTTTTACTGGAATGAAAGAGCACAGAGTACAGAAGCAACAAAGCAGCATACTGCATTAAACCTGACCTTCACAGAGAGGTTGAAGTTCATGTGGAGAGAAGGCTTCAGTAGTCTGTCTGCACTCTGTTTAGTTGTGCGGTAAAGTGTGTCGCCAATGTAACCGGTTAGAACTCGAAGTTGCGAAGAGGTCTTAAAATGTATGGAAAGGGTCTTAAAAAAGGTCTTAAAAGGTATTAAATTTGACTTCAGGATTCCTGCATATACCCTGTCATAGAAGCTGGCCTCGCAAACAGTGGTTGCCTGAAAAATAACCATGAGCGGGAAGTCATATGCCAAGGCTCTCTTCAGTCTGAAGGCGGTCACAGAGGCACTCGAACGGTTGCTGTTCAATGTTTTTCTAGAGGGGGAGAAACCAGACATCCCATATGAGATCCTCTTCAACCTCATCCACTCTTGCACTTCTGAGAGCCTCAACTCCACTCTGAAGGATCCCACACTGCTCAAGCTGATTGGTGACTACCTCCAATACCAAGACAAGGTACGCAGGGGCCACCTGGGCAAAACGGGTATGTTCTGGCTCTCCATGATGGATCATGCAAGGCTGGTCTTTATGATGGATTTTGCTGTGAAAACCAACAATTTCAAGCTGTTCCATCACTGCAACGGCGCCATGGCAGATCTCTTCTTTGCGTATGATGGCCACAACTACGCCAGGTAATTTATGCACTCATTCCTGAATACTCAATATAAAAATAAGTGGGAGCTTATTGTAGTTGTTGTAATAAACTTTAATTATCATTAATTTCCTACAGGTACCTTACCTGGTTTGAGGCCTTTCTCACAAACATCGACCTCTCCCATCCTGGTGCTCTTGATTACATCAAGCTTGGAGCTATAGCTGTTGCACGATCATTGATCACAGGGGCTCTCGCAGCAGTGGACAAGACCATGGAGGAGACATTCATGAGGTTTGCTAAGACTTCAGGTATGTCAGTTTGTGGACACAAACATAGTCACCTATATTTAATTTCCATGTTCATATTGGTTGTGACGCTAAAATTCAGACTTCTCCCTCTCTACATTGCAGGTGGTCTACTAGGTCTCTTCAACAACTGTGGCGCATACCAGAAATGGTGCCGCACAACCTCTGCCCGCGCTCAGCTCTATGAGCTTACTCTTGAGATGTGTGGCATGATTGACGACCCTGAGATGCCGAAAGCAGGCAAGCACCGTGAGCTGGAGCCTGCCCAAATCAAAAAGTCTGAATTAGCGGTGCAGAGCGTCATCTCTGCCATCAATGGCTTCACAAACCCCTGGAGAATCCCAGACAAAAGTCGACTGTACTCCCTCGCATCTGGAGCTCCCATCGATCCAGAGGTTGAGGCTGACGTGCTGCGGGCCGAGGCTGCAGGCAGGGCTGCCAAGGAGCAGTTCATCCAAGAGCGCTTCATTTCCAAGAGGAAAGACTTCTTTGATCGCCTCAAGAAACTTACGCTCAAGACAATGGATTACTGCAGCAAGAGGGTCAAACTTACATCTGTGCAGGGGAAGGTGGATATTGATTTTACTTATACCATTTGCATATTTAATTACACAAAAACATTATTCAGAAAGGAATGAAACCGTAAAACTCTGTTGTATTTATGCCTTCCTCATTTCCTTATTTTCCATTCCAGCTCTTTGTGTACAAGGAGCAGAGCAACCGAGCCTTTCAGCTGCTCGTTATGTCGCAGATTATGGAGATGCCCATCAACCTTGAGGAACTCATGCGGTATCCCCTCTCACCTGTTCCTCATGCCCTTGGCTCTCCGGATGGCTATTTTGCTAAAACCAACAAAGCCACTATCCTTCACCATCTGCTGCAGGACAGGGACGAAGACGTACCTTACCCCAATGATGCCCTCTTCATACAGGATGGCAACGCTCTCTGCCACATGATGTCCAACCTCCTACCGACCTTCGGAGGGATTTGCATGCAGCTTCTGGACCAAATGGTTGCCAAGCAACATTTTGTGTTCTCTACAGATTGCTACCAGCCAGATTCCATCAAAGCCCAGGAGAGGCTCAGACGTGGCTCTTCTGAGAAGCGCATAATTGATGGTCCAAACACCCGGAGGCCCTATGACTTTAAGTCATTCCTTGGCAATGAGCTTAACAAGAAGCAGCTATGTGACCTGCTTCTCAGGGTCTGGGGGAGCAATGAGGCAGCATCCCGGATTGAGAAGAGCATGAAAGCAGTGGTGTGTGTTGACGGAAGATCTTATGACCTAACATCAACAAATGGAAAAGTACGTTGACAGAAAAAGCGTGACACACACATACAATTGCAGACCATAATTGGGCTCTTAATACATACGACAAAAACTGCATAACTTAAAATGTTAATTTGTTAAAATATGTAGTAGTATTCATTTACTTTGTTTGATTGTTACAGGTCCAGACTTCTGAGATCTATGAACTGCGATCCAACCAGGAGGAGACAGACAGCCGGAATGTCCTGTACCTCCACCAGGCTGTCAAATGGGGGTACAAGTCCAGTGTGGTGAGGACACCTGACACAGACATCCTGATGATCCTCCTCTACCATGCCAGCAGGATCAACCTCTCCATCTACCTTGACCACGGCTCTGGCAAACATCGCACACTAATAAATGTGACAGAACTGTCGGAATCACTGACAGTTCCCTGACTACTGTAGCACACTGCTGGTATTCTACGTCTTTACTGGGGAGGACTGTACCAGCGCTTTTAAAGGCAAAGGCAAGGTGAATCCCCTGAAGAAGCTGGAGAAGACTCCTAAACTCCACAAAGCTTTCAGGCAGCTTGGTGCAGACTGGATAGTCACTGATGAGCTTCAAGAGGAGATGGAGAGCTTCACATGCATTATGTATGGCCAAGCACGGATGACATCAGTTGACACAGTACGGGTGAAAATGATGAGAAAGATGGTCGGCGCTGACAAAGTCCTGGACTCTAAGTCAAAAGTAGACCTGGAACGCCTGCCTCCCCCCAAGGTCTGTCTCATTCCACATGTCCAGCGAGCCAACTACAGAGTCGCCTTCTATAAGAGAGCAGACAAGGCAATAATCGAGAGCCCAAAACCACATGATCCAGGCATGGGCTGGCAGAAGACAGGAGAAGAGGAGGTGTTGGAACCGGTCTGGGCAATTGGACCCATCCTCCCTCCTTCTTTTGTTGAGGTACTGGCTCAGAGAGCAGAGTCAGAAGAGCACGCAGCTCTTGACAAGGTGACCGATTACGCCAACAATAACTTGTCTGTGGGTGAAGTGGATGGAGAGTACGAGCATGAGGATGAAGAGCTGGAGATGTAAGAAATTGAATTAGAAGATCTCTTCAGTGACGATGAGGATGATGAGTAGTTTAGGTCAGCAAGTTGGTAGTGACATGAAAAGGTAAATGTATTCATTGTTCAAGTTGTAATTATATCACACTTTACATAATCTTTCATGTTTGATTTTGGTGCAATAAAGAGTTAAAAATAAACCCAACAAGATTTTATTTAATCATTTAATTTCATTTAAAGGATTAGAGAAAAACTGATTGTGAACATATATTCACCCTATGTGTTGAAAAGGTAGTTGGTCATACACACATGTTTGATCATTTCTTGCTGTTTTTGACCAGAAATACAGTCAAAATGTTGTCAAATGTCAACAATAACCATCCCATTGAATTCCTAGGATCAAAATTGTGTGGGAACATTTATTAATTTCGCTCTGTAAGTTGTCTACTTCAAAGGTTATGCCTCTTCTACATTATATTTTCATTTTTCGATTTTTGGGTTAGGTGCTATAAAGGGTTAAAACTAGCCTTTGGGACATTATTTCAGCTTGGTACCCAATATAATCTTAAAATAAACACTTGGAGGATTGAAAAAAAAACTGATTGTCAACAAATATTCACTCGATGCGTTTGAAAAATAAAAAAGTAGTTGGTCAGACACACATTTTTAGCATTTTTTTGCTGTTTTTGTCCAAATACAGTCAAAATGTTGTCAAATGTAAAAAATAACCATCCCATTGAATTCCTAGGGTCAGAATTGTATGGAAAAATGTATTCATTTGTCTCTGTATGTTGTTTACTTCAAAGGTTATGCCTCTTGCTACATCAAATTTTAATGTTTCGGTTTTGGGTTAGGTGCAATAAAGGGTTAAAAATGGAGCCTTTCGGACATTATTTCAGCTTGGCACCTGGCAGATTCTGAAAGTAGACACTTTAAGGATTAAGAAAAATCAGGTGGCATAACAAATTCCGAGGAGTGTGCGTGGACCCCTATTTCCATCTAGACCAGTGTTTCTCAAACTTTTTCATACCAAGGACCACTTAACCAATAAAGAAACACTCGCGGACCACCTAACTCCACAATTATAAAAAAAACACATGGTTTTTCTAGAACAGATTACAAATCGCCTGAAAATGGTACAAACAGGTGACAACATGTGTGACGAAGATGTTGCCCTGGGCTTTATCATGCAATCGAAAGTGAAACTTAAGCTCGCTCCATTGCGGAGATATTCCCACGAGAGTGCGGAAAACTTAAATGTATTTATTTATTTCAAATGTGAAATGTTACCAATATACTCACGGACCACTAGGGGGCACTCACGGACCACCAGTGGTCCGAGGACTACACTTTGAGAAGCACTGATCTGGACTAATGGATGTATAATAAGAACTGGATACAGCGTGGGAGGCGGGGCCTCATTCATTCCTATGAGAGTTGCTCATTAGCGCATGATGATAAAATGGCCCAACTTTTGAGAGAGTGAAACGTCACAGAATACCCGGCATGCCTGAGAAGTACCCGTATGTGCGCTCGCTTTGAGCAACTTTAACCAAAATGCTCGTTCACATCAAGCACGTCAATTTGCGTACACGTAACAGCACCGCACGTTCATGACAGCATGGTAATGATTTGTTATTATGATGGTTGATATTAACGAGGCGGCAGTTAGCAGCTAGCGGCTAGCTAGTCATTGTGCTAATGTACACATCAATCGTTATGTACTTATATTACGCTGTAACAGGATCTAGTGATATCCAAGCAACAGAGCTTCATTTAGCATGAAAGCATGATTGCACTGTATATATAGGCCTACTTATAATAATAAGTAATATTAACTTTATTTAATACAACATTTACGGTACAAGATTTAATCATACAGCCCATGTAGTAGGCCTATGATAATGAATTATAGCAAACATGTGCAATATATCCATTATTACAGCTCCGTGGGATGGCAGTAAGACGATATGGGTCCGTTCTTATTGTGCATCCATGGGTAAAGATAAACGCAACTCACATTGGTTTTCAAACAGCATCTCTGTAAACTACGTGTATTGTATTCACTGAATTTCACTCTCTGCCTATAACGGCTCGTTGTAGCTCCAATAGCTCCAGCCCCCACCCTTCGTGAGCACAGTGTGCTCTGATTGGTCGGGACACGTAACATGAACGTGCCGGGCGGCGCGGTCCCGTGGGTTAGATGCGCGTTCATAATGCAAAGGGAAATAACTCTCAGAATAACGTTATTAGCACATTATTACAAGTTGAGGAACGAATGCTTTTAATAAGGGCTATACAAGTGTTCATACTGGGTAGTTTATTTAGTTTAAAAAAAATTATCCAACGATTTACAGACCACTCTTTCCCCATGTAAGTCAATGGGAAAAAGTGTTTCCGGGCCTGACAACCAAATGGAAGTGTAGTACCGCCGTTTGGCCAGCACGAATATTTTTATCTGAGTCCGGCGCACTTCCTGGGGGCTTGGCGTGAACACGCAAACGGAGGCGTAGGGTGTAGGGGGCTATGTAGTTCTTATTATACATCCATGGTAGGGGGCGGTTTGGGAATGGGCCATAGTAACTCAACGAGTGAGTAATGTCAAATGACAGTACAATTGACCAATCATATCTTCCCTCTAAATAGGAGGGCTTTATTTTCGCGAACTTTATGACAAGTTCCGCCCGCTGTGAAGTCTATGCAAGTGGTGCAGTGACGCATCCTAAAACCCGGAAGTAAGCTGCGCTCGGATTCCCTCGACAGAAAGCAATGGGATATCATTTCTCCATAGGATTTTGGAAAATAGCTTGAAATAAGGTCTGTGGAAAACGAACCTGTTAGATAAATGCACGTTTTGTTCAGCCGGATAATATCCACATGTATACCCTACTTTTTTTATTTTCGAATCATAAATCTAATCGATAGATTTATGATTAGCATAAGTTTGTTCATGATGGCTCACTTCAGTGATAGTGATGACATCGTTGCGAAATTATTAACCGAGTCATTTTCAAGATTGAGTTACAATGATAAACTGGAGTGGCAAAGGATCAGCTGAATGACCCGCCATCAAGTGCTTCATCCAAAAGGACAGTAGGATTGACTTTGTGTTTAAGTGATTTGATCATCAAAGTAATTTTCAATGTGGGCCGCCGTGCCGACTTAATTCATTTGTAGTTACTTGGCTGTGGGTGCCCTGTCATGATAGGTGTTTATATAAATCAGGGGTGGGGAACCTCCGGGGGCAATCCCCACAGGAGCAACCTACAATTTTAGGAAATGTAAGAATAGTGTCTTAAAGGCCCATATTATGCTTTTTGGGGTTTTCCCTTTCCTGTAGACTGTTATTTTTGTTTTGTTTACTTATATAGTGACATCACTATCAATAATTCCTTACATTTATTATAGCGGTTTTCCAGATGTTCAAAGCGCTTTACAAATACACATTACACACATATCATACATGTAATGGTCATGTACTGTGGACAATACCCACAGGAGAAAATGCAGGTGAAGTGTCTTGCCCAAGGACACAACAGCTTTACAGACGCATGCGGCGGCAGGTTTCGAACTGGAGTTCCCCAACGCCCCCCTGATCTGATGATCAATGCACAGCCCACTGCGCCACTCCCTCCCTATGTAACACACGCCTTTTCTATTGGCTCGTGCTCAGTGGCGGTTCCAATTTGACTGGGGGGGCCAGGCTGGGGCCAGTTATGTTCTGAGGGGGGCACAATAAATTCAGGACCAAAAAGACAAAGACAGTATGAAGTAATTGCGCATACACCTAAGAAAACAATGCAATACAGTTATTGGTATTTGTTTCATTACACATTATTATATGCTTACCTTTGTGTGCTGTTTGGGTCTGTGGGACCCGTTTTAAGTGTTTACTAAAAGAAAATGTATGCAGTTTCATTATGTTTTTTTAAAAAGTTGAAGTTAAATGCATCAATCTGGTGCACTTTGAGCACAAAATGAATTTATGGATACAGCTCTCAACACTCATATGAAAGAGAGCTGTATACTTTTCAATAATCCAAACATCTTTAGAATATGATCACAACCAATAACAAATCATTTAAACTAGTTTATTCTTATCTTATGTTACCTATAGTTGGTATCCTTTCTTTTTATGTATGCATATTTTACTAATCACTCCCCTTTTAAACTGTTTTTTTTTTTACTGTCCTATAGTACACATTGGAATGACTTCTTTATTTTTTACAACACATTAAATAGATAAAGGTGTGCTCTCTCTAGCTCTCTGTCTCGCTCGCTCACAGAGGCTGTGTGCTCCTCCGTGGCGATGATGGCTTGCGTTAAAAAACAAAATATATTTGTAAAGTGGGGGCTATTGAGGGCTTGCGAGATACCGGCAGCTCGTGATCGACGTGTTGGAGACCCCTTCTCTAATGGGTCCGACTAGAATGACAAATATCGTTACTTCCGCCTAGTCCATCAGCCAAGAAATCGTTTAATCATAAACCTTTTTTTTTTCATTTTTAGGGGGGCCACAGGGGGGTCTAAAGTGTTACAAATTGTACGTGATGGTAAGGGGCAGGACATCTAAGCGGTTGACTAATCACAACAGATCCTGCCAGCTAACCAATCAGAGCAGACTAGGCTCTGGTTTCAGACATAGGGTGAAAAGAGGTGCTGCAGTACAGGCAGTATGAGAGAAATAAAGAGCTTTTTGAACAGTAGAGACACTAAATACAAATATGAACATGGAAATGAACATAATAGGGCCCCATTAAGATATTGCCTCATTTGTGTATTTTAAGTTTCAGCCTTACGATTGGCATTTGAGATAATATTTGCATACTACGTAGAGTATATGACAATTTTTCCTTTTGAACTTATTGTGCTGTAAAATAGTCTATATGTTTTTTAACCTGTCCCCATAATTTCTGGTTCTGCTCTGATCTTTGTTTTATGTGGGTCACTAACAGGAATGCCCGCACTGCCCCAGGCTGCACTCTGTTTAACTGCCTTTTAAATACTGACCAGCATTCCTAAATGTCCTCCTCTCAGGGTCTTCAGAGACCCCCACTCTATCCTCCTTTGAATTGAACTAAGGTTTACTTACTTATTTATTTTGTGTCACCTTACACAACTCAAATACATATATTATATATTATTATATAATAGTTTGTTTTGTTCATGATGATCTGCTCTGTTGCATTCTTAAAGCTATCTTGTGTAGCATAAAATACATACATGTATTTCCCAAACCTAGTGTATGAGATATTGATGCGATATTTTTTATGATTAAGGATTTAGGCTAGCTTCATAGTTTCAAATCCAAGAGTCAAAGGCTTTATTGTCATATGCAGAATAGCTACCCAAGTCCCTCCAATAATGCATCATAAAAATACTGCAAGAAGAAAGAGAAATAGAACAAATGTGACTGCATAGTTGCACATTTTTACTTTATTGAGTAATAATGCACAGAAATGTCCCAAAGCAGAAGTTTGTCTCATGCTGTAGGACATCCTCCATTAGTCTCTCATTGGTAGGAGCGGCAGGGTTGAGCCTTGTTCCTCTGACTGAACCACACTTTGTTCTCTCTTTATATCTTCTGTCTGTCCCAAAGACTCCATCCTTGTCTTCTACCTCAGAGCCTGAGTCCTCCACGATGGTGTTGCCCCCGGCCCACTCCTCCAGGCTAAAGTATGTGTCTCTGGGGGTCCTGGTGTTTCAGACCACCTCTCTAGTGCTCACCATGCGGTACTCCCGCACCCTGAAGGAGGACGGCCCGCGCTACCTGGCCTCCTCCGCCGTGGTGTCGGCCGAGGTGCTCAAAATCCTGGTCTGCACTCTCATCGTCTTCATGGAGAACAGTGAGTAAGGCCTTTTTACCAACTTTTTCTCTTCAATCCCTGGGTGGTCCCATCTAACAACGCTCTGTCTGCCAGATTTCAGCGTGCGGCTGCTGAAGGAGGAGATTGTGAACAAGCCCGTGGAGACCCTGAAGCTGGCCATTCCTGCGGGGATCTACACACTGCAGAACAATCTGCTCTATGTTGCCTTATCCAACCTGGACGCAGCCACGTATCAGGTAACTCATGAATGAGCTGCCTCAGGTTCACCAGGAGTGTGTGAGTGTGGGTATACTTGTAAGGACTTCAGTTATCTATTATTGCTTTCAACTAACCCAATAAAGTTATGTGAAATTTGTTGACATAATACATTTAATTTAAGTCAATGTTTCAGTTTTTCCAGTGTATGGTTTGGCTTTTGCCTTACTTTGTTGCCTTACTTTGTAACACTTTTACAGTGCTTGGTATGTGTCTGTGGGGAAAAAACATTGTCTATGTTTTGATGGCAACAGGGATCTTTAGGTGGAAATAGCAGGCAGAAGTTTGTGTAAATTAACTAAATATCATTTAGCTGTCCAAAGCAACTTACACACACTTCAAAACTGTCTGTGTTGTTAAATATTGATTTTGATGTATCTTGGACTGTATATAACTAGAGGACATTTAACATGATTTACCAAGCCCCCAGGAAGTGCGCTGGATGTTAAAGCAAATGTTCGGAGTGCCCAAACAGTGGTACTACAACTTATGTGTCAGTCTGTGATGCATTGGTCCCAAAAATACTTTTTCCAATTTACTTTCAATTCAATTCAATTCAAAACTGTTTTTCAAGGGAGACCTGCAGCAGTAGGTTCCACATGAAGACATAAAAACATAAACAACAGAACAACAAAAGGACATCATACAGCAAAATGTACAGGGATTACAATTTACATATCTATCCACATTTACAGGTAAAAACAGCATCTGATTGTGTAGCATCCAACCGAGCTTTAAAAACATGTAGTGGTACTAGCTTGGTCATTTTCCATTCTTTTTGCAGACTGTTCCATGTTAGTGGAGCTGCACATCTAAAAGCTTTCTTCCCTAAGACAGTCCTAGCACTTGGCACATTTAATAAAACCACAGCATGCGATCTCAGGCAATAACTACTTTCAATTCGCCGAGAGATCAGGGAGCAGATATAAGATGGTAGTTTATCCAACATGGCTTTGTAAATGAAAATGTACAAAGCCATGTTAAACTTTCATTGATAAAGAGAGGAATAACCCTTATTTAAGCCATCAGGGTCCAATAGTTGTGACAGGTGCTACAAGCCAAATCCGAGTGATTTTCTCTCTCCATTAATTTGACTGAGCAAAGATCGGCACTGACGTTGCAGATTGGAGGCGGGGCTTAGGCGAAACGTAATGACATGCTCTTGAGAGTCAGGCCATTTTGGCATAATGCCCCACTGAGCAACTCTCATAGGATTGAACGGGGTCCCGCCTCCAACACTGTATCCAGTTCTCCTCATACATACATAGATTTCACCCCTTTGATTTGCGGACAACTGTTTTGGCCATCGCCATCGCCATCTTGGATTTTTGTAACCTGAAGGAACCTCAGAGGGTAGAGAAAATATTTTGTTATGCAACCAAAATGTTACAACTTACTGCCATTGACTGAAAACAAACTGTGAAAGGGTTAAAGTTGTACGAAGGAAACCATAACAACGCCCAAACAGCACTGCACAAAGTTGTGGTAACGACCTGTCAATCACAAGCTAGTCCCACCCTTAACCAACCTCTAAATGGCACCATAATTAACTAAATGAACACCTGTAGGGAACAAGACTTGAAACCAGTCATTAAGACCATAAAGACATTAGGAAAGTGTTTATGGAGGCAATACATCAAGTCAGAAGCAGGGCAATCTTCTCATCGACTTCCATACAGTTGGACTGGCCATTCTAAAGAATACTAGGCACTTTCACATTTCAAACTTTTCAGAAACAGAGGCTTCTGCTTGTTAAGGCATTGTTCGAACTAGTACAGAATATATCTACCTTTGATTCTTAACCGAAAACCTCTAGATCAGAGGTGCCCAGTACGTCGACCGCGGGGGCAATGCTGGTAGATCGCGAGTCATTCATAACAAAAAAAATCTTGTTCCGTTAAAATAGACAAAACAGGTTTTGATCCCGCCTCCCTTGGCCTCCCTGCCACTTAATTGAGGAGTTTACTTGATTGACAGAAAAAGCGACCTATCGCTTTCCAGTCTGTTAACCCAGAATGCAAAGCGATACAAAATCAGTCAAGTGCCGGGAAAACTCAAATTAAGTTAAAGAGACAAACAAGAGACAAACAACAAAATGAGTGCGGGACCGAGCAAGAAGCTAAAGACAAACCACTTCCACCCAGAATGGGAGGAAGAATATTTGTTTGTGATGTCACATTCAAAGGTTATTTCCCTTATTTGTAAAGCAAGCGTCGCTCTGCCAAAGAAAGGTAACGTGGAGAGGCATTATCGGAGTGTTCACAAGGCATATGACAGCGACTTCCCTCCGAGTAGCGAGTTGAGAAAGAGAAAGGTCTGTATTATTGCTTCACAAACATTATCTCGCAATCTTAGTGTCGCCAACTCGTTTCTAACATGCAAAAAGACAAACAAATGTCGGTGTATTTTCGATCTTTCCAATCGAGACGAGATCTCTCTCCCCGTCTGTGCGCGAGGGGGCGGGGCAGTTTACACACACGCGGCTGCTACAAGCAGCAACACACGGAGGAGATGGCGGAGAGAAGCGCTCCAAGGTGTGGTTAAATGTTATCCGTCTTGAGGCGGACAATGCTCCTTGCCAAGAGAGTTCAGCATGTAAGGGCGGTAACACGAGCAATGTGTCAAACATTTAGCAAAAGTGCACCACATCCAGACGGAGGAATGTACCGGGTTCGACTGTCTTTCTAGCAGCTCTGCAGCCCCGTCCACGAGTAACGTTTCCACGTCAGGTGTTATGTATGCTAGCAGCAACACACGGAGTTAACTCAATGATTCAAACATGGGTTAATGATTATAGGAAACTGAGTTACTCTTTATTTTGTTAAAGTTTCAACTATTCTGTTTACAGTTCTGTCATCAGATTATTTAATACGATTTGTTAAAACATTGTTGTTTCTTTTGATGTGAAATATTATTTATTTAATTTAAATAAAAAGCAATGTTAGTTTTGTTCACAATTTGTTAATTTAATAATATATGTATTTTTGAATCAAGTATTCATCTTTATTGTCTTCATTGTTAGTTTCCACATGCCTAAAACAACCTCAAGCTAAATCTAAAAGTTGATGGCTAAACAAGAGGGTTTGAGAAATTGTGCAAGGCATAATAGTCTGAATAGTCGATTAGTCGTTTCATTAATCGATAGATTAATCGATTATCAAATTAGTCGTTTGTTGCAGCCCTATTATCCCATGTATAAATAAAACGTGTTATTCAGCAACCCTTGCAATTTGGGATTTTATTTTTGGTTGGAAGACCTCGGTGAGCTGGTCATTTCAAAAGTAGCTCACCAGCCCAAAAAGTGTGGGCACCCCTGCTCTAGATTTTCAGAAAGAGTCAAATCCCTTCATTAAGACATGTAGGCAAGTAGTCCGAAATAACTGGACAAAAGACTTCAGGACGAAAGACTCTTTTTGACTTATCCACAATCCTTGTATCTAACTGATGTTCCCCTGTCCATACCTGACTACCTTGCTTTCTATCTTACTGGTGTGTTTTTGTCGTTCTCTACATAGGTTACGTACCAGTTGAAGATCCTCACCACAGCACTGTTTTCTGTCTCCATGCTGGGGAAGAGGTTAGGATTGTACCAGTGGCTCTCCCTACTGTTCCTCATGGCTGGAGTCACTCTAGTGCAGGTACCAGCGGCACCAAGTCCCTGAGCAATTTGAGAAAACACAGGTTTTTCTGCTTATCTGCTTCATTAACATGGAATATGTCTTAATAGACTCCTTAGATGTTTAAGTCATAAGTGAGTTATACACATGTAAAGCACTCTCTCTGTCCTCTCCTTCCTCAGTGGCCCACAGAGTCTGAAGTGGACTCTGAGCAGGCGGTCCTGTCTGCAGGCTCACAGTTTGTGGGGCTGATGGCTGTGCTCACGGCCTGTTTGTCCAGTGGCTTTGCTGGAGTTTACTTTGAGAAAATCCTCAAGGAAACTAAGCAGAGTGTGTGGGTCCGAAACATACAGCTGGGTGAGTGACCAAGGCCTCCGTATGTTTGGGACTTATATGTGTTGAGAAAACGTACATTACATTTAATCAGCTGATGCTATGTGTATGCATTTAATTGTATACAAGTCAGAAAGGTGCAAGAATCAAGCAAGTACATTATCTTCATGAAATATGTTGATTTACTTCAAGTGCTACATGTATAGACAAAAAGAGACAGAGAGGGGTTGTTATTTGGAAGAAAGTGTTTCACTTTTTGGAGCCAGGACATCTTCCAGGTTCCAACAAGCCAAATCTGGGACAAAGAGTATGTTTGTGTGGGACAATGTGGGACAAGTTACTGCGACGCTGAAAGGCATTTTCAATTTCGATATAATCTCCATATAAACGGATTGAATAAAAACGTCTACTGAAACCATTAGTTTAGAAATTAAGTCCTGCATGTAGTGTGTCGCTTCAAATCATATTACCTCCATGCAAGATTGCAAAGAAAAACTCCATGGGATTTGTCTACCACACACATGATTAAATCCTTTTCTTTTAATAGTTTCCATCATACTCCGCTAAAAAGTGCATGGTGCAGTGGTAGCTTGTACTGCTTTGTTCCAGTAGGGCGTGACATGCACTGGAAAAATTGCAACGTTGATTCTAATTAAATGTATTATGTCAACAAATTTCACATAACTGTATTAGGTTAGTTGAAAGCAATAATATAAAGTTGAACCTTAAATAAAAAAGGTTCAACTTTAACTCTACATTTAGTTGAGGTCAACGTTTCAGTTTTCTCAGTGTAGGTAAGGAGACTGGTGACAGGTTGGCGAGCCCTTGTGTGAGCTGCTTGGTTGACATCTGACTGCAGGCAATGGTCCCTCTCTTGATTTCTACACCGCCATTGGATAAAATAAAATTCGGAGCAGTCCCACACAAAGCAGGACACCTGGGGTGTTTCTCAATGTCAAGTACGCTTGCTTGGTAGCACATGTCTTGCTTCCGAAGCGAGGCAACAATACTTCCTAGCCTCGGAAAACTAAGAATGGACCAGGCTAACAGGTGTGCGTCATATGAGAGGCCCCGCCTTACATTTTCCGCTACAGATTTGGGGAAATTGGTCCGTGCGTAAAGCATTGTGGGGATTTTAAGACCGCGGAGTCTACACATGTGCAGCCTCGAAATTTCTCGCTACGAAGTACGCCGGGCTCGGTAGAATTCCAAGTATGCTGGACATTGGAACAGTCCTTCTGCTGCACTCGATGACGTAGTATGCTTGAAATAGTGGCTCTGGAGCAGCTTTACTCGAGATTGAGAAACACCCACGGTCCCCCTATTTGCAGTGAGAAAGTATATTATACATTACATAACATTACATATTATTTAACAATGCCCTTTATCCAGGCGACTTACAAAGAGTGCAATCATCCATGAAGATACATACTCAGACAGAAATAATCCTGCAAGTACATTACCTTTTAATAAGTCAAACCATTTTAAGTGCTGGTGCATTTGCTTTAAATGACACAACCCTTTTAGTGCTACACAAAGAGCAGCAACCTGTGTGTGTTTGGCCAACATATCCTCATAGTTCTTTTTTAAATCTTTGTGGGTTCTTCAAAAAATATCCAGCAACACAAGCAAACAGTGCACCTGAGCAGTGCTTGTTTAGGCAACCAAACGACTTGGGTTAGGGTTAGAGAAAAGGAATTAGCACACCACTTTTCATAGGCATACTGTAAGTACTGAATGAACACTGTATGAGAACAGCCTGCCCTCACACGTGGACACAAATTCATGTTATTTTGGTCACAAACATTAACTGATAAAAAGGTTTAATAATTTTCAATACAAATTCTTTATTGTAGCTCACTGCTTAGCAACACATCTTCTAAATTGTCATGCATACAACGCACATTTAACTAAAAAATTCAAGCTGGGGAAAGGGAATTTTGGCAACCTGGCAACACAAACGTTGGCTTTAATGATACTATTGGTATTAACCCTCTGGTCGGTGGACGCGCATAATTTTACGTATTTAATCATATATTTCCGATTATAAGGAGTAGAAATATGATTAAGATATCCGCGTAATCGCTGGAAGAGTAGCTTTCCAGCGGTATCTCCTGTGAGACTGTAACCAGGGCACAGCAGCCAATATGGCCGCTCAAAGCAGCTTGACTTTACACTGTGTGGGATTGGTGGATTCGTGTGTCCGTCAAGGAAATCTCGGCCGGCAGCCATCATGGTCTGAAATGACCAATGGACATCGAGAAATCACCAAGGACCTACCCACCAAGTAAACAAAACATAAACCACGTGTCTCCCATCAGTTTAAACTTTACGTATTGGAGGAGAGAGAGAGAGCCAGAGAAAATGGCTAAAAAAAACTTTGCAGTTGCCGACTTCGCTAGAGATTTCTTTCGCTAGCAGCAGTGAAGATAGAGCCTCAGAACGTGAAGTCTTCGACTCTTCTGAAGAAGAAGAATACAAAGACAACAACAAGGATCCATTTGGGCATGGGTAAGTGTAAATATTACAGTAATAGTGTACTGGCAATGTGTGGGGAATACCGCGAAAATGAACAATAGGTTTATTGATATATATTATTTATCGATAGTCATGAACTTTTTATTGGACAAAATAGACTCTCCATTAGCAAACGTTTACTCTGTGTTAACGTTATTTTGGTGTGTAAAAGTGAGATTACATGTGTAGAGGATTAAATTAATCATTTATTCGTCCCACAACGGAGACATTTACAGTGACATGTTTTTGCCATCGATTATTTTATCATACTGTTCTGTACAGATGAGACTTTGTCATAGATTTATTTATATGTGTGCCTGTTATTATTTTACCGTCCTGTACAGATGAGACTTTGTAATCAGATGTAGCCTATGTATATGTGTTTCTGTGATTTTATACTGAATGTAAAGTAACTGGAAGTGTGTGTGTGTGTGTGTGTGTGTGTGTGTGTGTGTGTGTGTGTGTGTGTGTGTGTGTGTGTGTGTGTGTGTGTGTGTGTGTGTGTGTGTGTGTGTGTGTGTGTGTGTGTGTGTGTGTGTGTGTGTGTGTGTGTGTGTGTGTGTATGTGTGTGTGTGTGTGTGTGTGTGGTGTGTGTGTGTGTGTGTGTGTGTGTGGTGTGTGTGTGTGTGTGTGTGTGTGTCCTCCAACCTCCCAAACTTTCTTTTTATGTGTGCATTGTTATTTGTGCTTGAGCAACATTTTACTTGAACTTTATTTCAATGAAATTAGTTGTAATTATTGTCCTACGTTTTAATTTGTTTTACAGAGATGTTTCACAGCTGTCTGGCCCACAGGCGGCGTTTATCCAGCAGCCAGAACATCCATCTGTGCCGGCCCCCAGGTCAAGATCTACCGTGGCTCAAGGGCCTTCACCAGAGCCATCACCACCAAGGACCAGCAGACCAGCATCACTACAGCTGCCTCCACCTCCATCTGCGGCTGCCACCAGGTCAAGATACACCTCAGCACAAAGGCTCCACCACAGCCATCACCTTCAACTCAGCCAGCAAGGAGGTCTCGTGGAGGTCTCGTATAGCACTTGTACACCCCACCTACACGGCAGCCCATGCACGATCACCCCCATCTTCACAGCAGCCAGACCCACTGTCTTGGAAGACAGACAAAGACCTAGACACTGTCTTGACATTTATAATGAATAGTTGGTTGAAAGTTCTGATGTTCAATATTGTAAATAGTTAGATTTTCCAGTTTCTTATATTTATATAAATAGTTGGTTGAAAAAAACATTTATAATAAATTGTTGGTTGAAAAAAAAGGTTGAATGCTCAATTTGTATTTGTACACATCACATGAACCTTGGTATGTAATATGAAGTCATTATTCAGTCCTGATGTATCTCAGTCCCTGCTGTGGTGAAAGTAGAGTGATGAACACCTATTTTACTCAAAATTTGAATTTAACTTTTTTTCATTTTAGACATGAATAACACATTTATATACAGTGTAATTCAAATATTTCACTGCTTTTGTGATCCTAAGACTTTGGTAACCAAATCTAAAACACCAAAACAATTCGATCACATGAGTAAATGTGTGTTTTCACAAAAGTTTTGAAGATTTTCCGAAAATCGGATGTCAAATTTTAAGCTTTTGAGCTACTTATCTCAAACAGTGCTCTAAGGTGAGTAATTTGCATATATAGCAATACTAGAGATTGTCCTGAACATTTTGATATGTAACACATGGGTGCCATGTTAGAAGAAATACATTTAAAAGGTGATTTAAGAAAACATCTAAAAATCGAGAAAATACCCTTAGACTCCAGAGGGTTAAGGGTTAATTAATGGTTTATTAAGATTGAGAAATACCTTAGTTACAGCTTTTAAGTACTCATCATAAATTATTATTTTAGAAGATTGTACCAGAAAAACAGCTTTGACTGCTATATGTCTGCTAAGCTGTTAGATCAAACTAGTAGAGCCAATCTAAGGTGTAATTCAACCAGTATAAATGTGCAGCATCATAAAATCCTAACTGACATTTTAATGTTTCACTGTCATACCTAATGTTGACACATACATATTCATAGATAAGGAGGTGTCACTCCAGTTTTTTCTAATAGCACTAATTGTGTTACTTTTGCAGAATGTCTCTTCTTATCTCTAGCTGCAAGCCTCTATTGAATGTTCCTCTTTAGTCATGCATTAATCGCAGCATCTCTGCCAGTTGTGCATATGAAACTCCCCATCCACTCTACATTCACACTGAAGGAGTTAATGTAGTGTATGCTTGTGAAGATAAAATATATATATTAAATATTTATGTATTCTTTTGTGACGAGGGCTCAACACTACTTCAGAAGATGAAAAAAAATACTATGCTGTTATGGGTTAGCCTAATTTGAAAATAATGTGAATGAATGTGTAAAGAAAAAGGACTTTCACATAGCTAATTTATCACCAGAGGATGGTTATGGAAAGCAAAGCTGAAATGACCATATTCTCAATCTGGTGAAATGTTACATCATAACAGCTTCTCTTATCTTGTTTTTATGTTTGATATGAAATGATGATACATTTAATAAGAGAAGAAATAAAATGTTCCCTTTGAAAGTTGATCTAACATGTAACAAAACTTAATTGGATTCAGAGAAATATTTGTCAATATCTGCTTTTATTTCCATCATTAAGGCCCTCCCTCTCTTGGTCCCTCCAGCTACAGACTTGCCCTGTTATTTGACCCTTATGGTCTCACAAACAATTCAAAAGAGTTATTTGTTCCCAAATGGCTGGGACAGAACAACAAAAGTTGGTTCAGACAACTTTCTCACTCCCTAATTACAGGTTGGTGTGATGAGGCCATCTCAGTTTATGGGGCAGAGCAGAGGGCAGGAGGTTAAAGATCACAGATTACGTACTCTCTTTTCCTCCTCCTGTTGAAACTTCTCGATTCAATGATTTTTGTGACCATGAAAATTCACAAGCGAAGCAATCACTGGGAGGCGTTTGTCGGTGTGGGAATGGCCCACTATTACACTCACTGCTGTGTGTGTGTGTGTGTGTGTAAATGTTAAACTCTGTTAAGCCTTGACACCTTGAGGCTGAGTTTTACCAACAAAGATGAATTATTAAACCATATTAAACGACTGTTTAACGTTAATTAACAAACTTTGAAACTAACAAAAAAATATGAAATAATAAAAATGAACCTCTCTATGAATGTAAATTCCGTGTTCACGTTGAACCTAGAATAGTTGTGATTCTGTTGCACTAAAATAAAATCCAAATATAAAATTTGACCAAGTATTAACTTTGAACTTACACTTTAGTTGTTGTTATTTAAAAAATGGCCGCCTTTTGTGATGAATAGAGCATAATAATAAAGTTCCCTTGAAGAAAGTTAAGGGATAGACTTTTTGATGAATTTCTTTTCATTATTACACTGTTATCCTGTTTAACTGTCCTCATTTTTTTCTTGTTATTCTTGTTATTTCTCTATACATTTTTTCTAAAAGGAATTATTAGAGCTAAGGCTATACAAGCATTTCTTATGATTTAAAAGCTAAAAACATGCCAAAAATAGAGCATGAGCTAATCCTGAAAACATAGCAAGTTAGCTAATATTTCAAACCTTGTTCTGCATTGACACTGGCGCCATTTACAGACCCCACCCTGGGTCTGTAAATGTCTTCCTACTGGCAGTCAAAACTCTTATGTGAGATGTGAAAAGTAGAACAGAAGCCGGTTAACTGAATTAACAGCTAACTAGCTAACAACAGTAGCTAGGTTTCTCCCTGAGGTTTCTCCCATTTTTCCCTTTAAACTGTGGGGTTTTCTCTGGAAGTTTTTCCTTGTACGATGTGAGGGTCTAAGGACAGAGGGTGTCGTATTGTCATACTGATATTCTGTACACACTGTGAACACTTGCTTTTTAAAATTTGACCAATTTACTCTCTTTTTCTCCTCAGGGTTGTTTGGCTTTGTGTTCGCTATTGTAGGAATGACAGTTTATGACGGCGAGAGGGTTAGAGAATCGGGAATGTTTCAGGGTTACAACACCATCACCTGCACAGTTGTTGCCTTGCAGGTTTGATCATTATATTTCTCTCATTCTTACATTCATCGAAATGTCATCAAATGAATTCAGTGTACACTGTTTAGAGTAATTTGAAACTCTCTGTGTGCAGGCTCTGGGTGGGTTGGTCATAGCGGTGGTCATTAAATATGCAGACAACATCCTCAAAGGATTCGCCACCTCTCTGTCCATCATTGTGTCCACACTTATTTCATACTTCCTGTTGGAGGACTTCAACCCTACAAGGTAAACACATCATGCTGCTCACCCACAGTCCCTCAAGGCTACATTTTTGGATTTGAGAATAATTACTCATAATATGCCTAACTAATGCTAGAGGTGTGGGTTTAAGGAAAACACTGCAGTATGTCAGTTGAAACTGTCAAATTATATATGACTACAGACATTCGTGGTTCCCAGGTAATGTATCATACTTTTATGATGCTGTGATTTTTCATCTAGCTCAACGACTATATTGTTTTGAAGTATTGACAAAAATATCTAACAACTATATAATGGCTTGCCATATTGGCTTAACCCACTGTATACTCAGTATTTAGGAGCTATGAGCCTTTGGAACAATGGAAGGGTTTTTTATCTGGGTATTTGGCTTTCAGCCCAATGGGATGTTTTTTGGGACTTCTATATGGTTACGGTACAATCATAGACTGTATATATAAATGGACGTAGTGTCCGTGACGTCAAAACATAGAACTTAAATTAGTGATGCAATGCTGAAATGTATAAATGTGACAGTCAAAAAGCATAGGTGTTTTAATGCCATATTCACTTAATAACGCATGAACAACTTTTACAAATATTTCTATATAGTCTGTGTTGGTAAATGTCATCTACGTTGCACATTTCCTGTTGAAATGCATGCATACCAAGTTACTGAGTGGCACTTTCCTTTTGATAAAACAGTGTAGTTCCACTATATAAATGTTACATTCATAATCAAACGAGACAATCTGCAAGAGAATTAGCTATTTGTTGTTATTCTTAATGCTTGTCATTCACACGTTAATAAAATAAAATAAGTATACATAGCAGAACAATTGTGGCGATGATCAGCTTAATAAGCCTTGTTCAACATAATTTCTTTAGCTAATACTACAGCGGGCTGCAGGCGAACCAAGTCCGCGTTTCGCTGCATTCCTTGATCTCCAGTTATAACACCGGACTCCGCCGCCGGGACGCCGGCCAGAGCTAACGGAGCCGCAGCGTGCGGCCGGAGCTAGCCCCCTGCGGCTCCGTTAGCTCCGGCCGGCGGACTCCGGCGGCCACCACTGGGATAATTGGGTCCCCTTTTAACATTTGCTCCCGTTTAGCATTATGGGCGTCATAGCCATAGACTATAAAAGTCTTACCCAAGGCTGAATCATAAACTAAACTGTATATATATATATCAAGTACAGTAACTACAACTAGCTAACGTTGTAGCCTAGCAGAGTGGACAAGTTGCTGTTAGCTGACAGTGAGGTGGAATCCAACTATATCCCGAATAATTTTATTGCATCCAGGGGCAGAAACATGTTTATTTCTTCTGTAAAATTGGGCATTTTAACATGGGGGTCTGTGGAAATTGATCCTTTCTGCAGCCATTGCCGATCGGCCAATAGATGAACTGCAGTTTGTGGCACTTCCTTATTGGCGTCCCGGCTCTGCCCCAGAGTTTGCCGCTTGGGTACAATGAGCATTCAAAAAAGAATGACATGCCATTAGATGGTGAACAATGAAAACATGATACCTACTTAACAACATGACATTTATACCATCTAAGCATTGTCAGCATGTTAGCATTCTGGTGTTAGCATTTAGCTCGAATTATCGACATAAGAGTCACTTAGCTACTAGCATAGACCTCTTAACATGACATGATATGATCATCACACAATTATTATTTGTTTATATTAACTTTTAATGCTTTTATTTTGTTCTCTCTTTTTATCTGTTTCCACCTTTCTCATAGTTTATTTTTCATGGGGGCAATGCTGGTTATTGCCGCCACATTCCTCTACAGCAAGGAGCGCAAACCTGCTAATGGCAGCGCCATCAAAGTCTAAACTGAGACCTCTGTGAAGTGTGCTACAAGAGAGGAGTGACGTCTGCCACCTGACATAGACCCTTCCGCAATATATGAACTGTGACATTAAGTATGGCGTGCAGGAATTATTCAAGCCGGAAATTTGAAAGTGATCAAACCTGGCACTGCCAAACATCTACAAATGGAGGCTGCTGGGGCTGTATGTTCTCCATCAGTTTCCTGACTGATTGCTGCGTTGTACAAAAGTTGTAATCAGTAACAATTACTAAGAAATAACTTTTTTATTGAATTAGTTAGTTTTAAAATGTTGTTGATTGCTAAGGTTTACAATGCTTGTGTGTTATTAATTAGCTCAAGCTATCAAAATCGTTAAATTACTTATTACATCTTATACCAAGAGTGGGAATGACAGAATACAAGTTATGGAAATGAACTGTTAATGCAATTTACAGGGATTACGATCAAACCATGTCTTATATTTGAAAACTATTATTTTATATATTTAAATATACTGGTAATGTATTTAAATGTAATGGGATGAAGGAAAAGGGGTTTATACTAAACAAAAAGGGTATTCATGGTGCTAGCAGCTCATGCCTCAGAGGGAGGAAACTCCTCGACAGCTTCCATCTAGTGGTGGAATGAGGAGAAAACCTGCTGCAGAGAAAGTGCCTCTGGTCAAAGATGCTGAATGTCCTTTTGAAAATGAGATGAAATAAGATGGGATATGGCTGCGTTGACCTTGCTGCTCACAGTCTGAGCATTTATATCAAAAGCACTCATTCTGATCTAAATGAAATGCAAATAAAGGTCTTTGTGTGAGAACAAATGAATAAATTAAGGCATCTTTTTTTATGTTGAAACAACCGGCTCTGCCTTGATCTTTTTTTCATACTTCAAAGTTAAGTGAATGGATACATCAACACTGTGTGTGTGTGTGTGTGTGTGTGTGTGCACGTGCGTGCACAGGCTCTTACATACACACTGATGCATACACACAGAGCTAGGCACACCCATGAATATTTTTGATCTGTTTTTTTTCAGCTCCAGTTGCAGCACGTTGGGAAAACCAATGCAGTCTCTATAGCAACAGATGGCTGAAAGAGCTGTGGTGCAGCGACAAATGAATCAATATAACCTATTTTAACCTCTTTGAGTACTTTACATTTACAATTTTTATTCAACAATGACCCTGACAAATAAAAAACAGATTTAGGCAGATGAACAAAAATACATATTTTCCCTATTTTCTCCTTTTTTACAGTCACAGATAATCTTTGCATAGTCAGAGCAAATGAGTGTGTTTGGATGGAGAGTGTGTGTGAGGAGGTGGACAGACAGGAGAGAATAGGAGCAGGCAGATTGGGAAGGTGAGGTGTGAACCTGGAGAGAAGCACAGATGGAGGATGAGTCATGTGACTCCTGTGTGGAGTGGCAGGCAGAGCTTTGGACCGAGCTCAGCACGAGCCACTGGACCGACCACGACACAGGAAATTCATCTGCGATTATCAGCAGCCGCCTACTGCAAAATAATACGATATGAGGAGAAGCTGACTTCATACGGACCATGGTTAAAGAATGTTACTAATTCAATCATTTTCAAAATGAAGTCTGATTTAATTCAAGGAAACTATTAAGAGTACATTAAGATTCCCTGATCGTAGGAAGATTTATGTTGCTTAGTAGTGCAACATGTCCTGATTAGAGCCACATCCAATCTACCTTAAAGAGAGAATTCACCCCAATATATAAAAAACATATTTCCCCTCTTACCTGCAGTGCTATCAGTCTGGACTATTTAGGTGTTGGATGGTGCTTTTTAGATGGTGCACCATAGAGTAACTGCCTCATCCAGTATAAAGCTGCATTCACATGATACAGGATCATCTCTTTGCTCACCAAGCAGTCGGGCGCGGTTCATTATATGGAAACCTTCTCTGTTAGCTTGGGTCCCTACATACAGCTTTCATCTGATTGGTTGCATGTCGAAAGGTCAGTGGTAACAAATTCAAAATTGATATAATTTGAATTTTGACTGCTCAGTGACAAGTTTGAGCAGTGTGCGACACCGATGGTGGCTCTTTAGCTGAGTGTGGCAGCACCGGACTCTCTTTAGAAACACAACGGCAACGCCAGCGCAGAGCTGTTTTACGACTAGTCATGTGAATGCAGTTTAATGGAACTAGTTGGCGCTTGTGGTTCTCAAAACACCAATAATTACATTTGACAAAATCAACAATAATACATATTTCCAGAATACATGACCGGGTTAATAGAGATAATCCACAGACCTTGTTGAGAGCAGTTTTATGAAGTCACTTTTTTCTTTCTACTTTATCACTACACAAAAATAATCTTGATAATGCTATTGAACAGAGGCTAGAGAAAGCAAGATGAAAATTGTAATGCCATCTTCCTCGGCTCTAGCGTTAGCTATTTAAAGATTAGCTAATAGGAGCCTCCATGATTAGATGTATGCTTCCTTTTGTGCGGTGATAAGGTAGGAAAACAAATGACCTGCATAAAACTGCTAACAACAAGGTGTGAGGACTATCTTGTGGGGGGTGTACTTTCCCTTTAAGTCTGAGTACAATTTGGCCTCATACCCAGCTATGCTTACATTTGTGGTATGGCACCATTACAAGTCATATACACCGCACTTGTTGAAGGCATAGCTGAAATGACTTATGTCATGTGGTCTACTCTGATATAGTTTGTCATCCATATAAATAAAATATCCGCTGCACGATGTAGTTGAAAATATGTGTGTGCATAAGTATGGTGTATTAAAAAAAACTCCAGTGAAAACTCCAGCAGGTTTTGCTTCCAGACTTTTATGCAAGGTGGGTGCTCTTAATACAATCTGATCGATGCATGTGTTAATCTTAACCCTAAAAAGACTCATATAATACTTTGTCTCTGTTAAATTCTCTGAATACATCCGGTAACTCTGGAACTGAGTGTGTTGAAGGCCTTTGTTGGCACTGAAGAGGTTTAACCAGCCCGCAGGGTCTGTGTTTTTCTTTTTTTTGGCTGACTTTCAATCAAAATGTCTTCAGGTATCAATGTACAAAACAAATGCTTAAACTTCTCAAGGACAGCTTTGTGTCTCTCTCACGCTCTCATGCAATAAGATCTACATAAGGATGCAGGATGCAGTCTAAAAACAGCGTTCCTTCTTGGCTAAAAAGCAGGCAGAACTCTTTAAAGGAGTCCAAAACTGATCTGGGGCCAAAAAAGCCATTGATGCCATCTGGGCCATTGTTACTAGTTTTTAGTCGACTTCCATTTCTGATACGGTACAGTGCCATATCCATTCTGGCTTGTTTTCATGGTCCACTTCAATCTTTCAGTGAGAGCTGGCATCAGGGAATCTCTTCTGTGATAGGCTTCATCACCTTTTCTGCAAGAGGGAACAATTTGTCTTTGCAACCAATCCACGCTCCTATTTTGGCGGTATGACCACTAGTGGCGCCCCTCTCCGTGGCCTCCACATCAGCACTTGGGCGTCGTTGGCGTTGGGCCTCCCCAGTGCGTTGGGAGGGATGGGCTCCTGGTAGTTGAGAATGTGCGGCTGCTCCTGGTAGGGACGCCCCACCAACGAGGCCCGAGAGCCCAGAGGCATGTCGGGCTCCACGGCAATGTCCACACGCATCCGCCACCGCACCGTCTGCAGCACAATGCGCTCCTGCAAGAGAGCAGCGTAACATCAAGGGAAGACATTAAAGGGGCCCTTTTACGGTCATTTTCAATTTCATTTGTATTGTGTGCCTCTACTGTGACATGTTTCCATGATCTACTGTTCAAGAAGCTCTTTATTTTTCTCATACTGTCTGTGCTGCAGCACCTCTTTTCACCTTCTGTCTGAAACTAGAGCCCACACTGATTTTAGCCTTTGCAGACCATTTACATTCACAAACACCTATGACACTACAGGAGAGGAAATATCAGCTATACGATGTTGAATGTAGGACTTGTACTTGTGTGACTTGTTTGTTATGGAGTATTTTTGCACTTTATTGTACTTAAGGGGAGACACTACAGGTGAATACAGGTAAAGAGACAATATTTTTGTTTAACTCCAAGTTTTCTGAATTGTTTGAATGCAAATGAGGCATTAGTGAAAGAAATACATGTAGCTATAAATGATACATGAACAAACCCTTCTGTCAAAAATGTTTGGTGTATGTTTGTGGTTGAGAAAAACTTACTTTAAATATATGTATTTAAGTTTGTATTTCTGTATCATTCATTTAGCAAAACGCTACACAGAAGAATGGGGTGAACGAAATCGCTAATATATACTGCTTCTATTAAGCTAATTATTTTAATTATTACAAGTTTAATTAAATGTTATGCTAAGTATGTATATGAGGCAATTACTAATAATAACTTAGGGTGAATTTAGGAGAACTATACTGACAGAAAAAGAAAAAGAAACACACATGTGTATTTTAGATATTTTCTTTGCACTAGTATATATATAATAGCCTGTAATATATGATATGGAGGCGAAACTCTAAAAAAAGATCAGTGCATGAAAGAATGATGTTTGTTTTCCTGTATGTATGCAGGCCACAGTGTATTTTAAGTACATGAGTGTATTTTTGAAGCCGGTCAAGTTGATTGTTTATTTTGTCATCTACTACTAATAGATGTAGTCAAAGTGCATCCTAATAAACTATGTATTACTGTGGCTTTGGTATATCTTTCTCAGAAAAGTATTTTACTATTAGTTTTCAGTCCCCTTGGGGACTTGCTTGACTCTTATTGCCCAACGTTAGGTAAAGCTATTCTGACAACCTTCTCCTCATAGCCTTAAAAGTATAACTATTCCACAAAGACAAAACATGAATACTGTAAGCATTGTGATGCACATCCACCGCATAGGCTTTATTCTGCAGAGTTGAAGCCAAAGGTGACGTACTTTGTAACTTTACACCAGAAAATAAAAGTGCAGGAAGAGATAACTACATTACGGTCAGTTCAAAGCAAGCAAACATCTCCATACTTTGCTGCTCTGTGTATTTTCCCCTACCTTGGTGACGGAGTTCATGGCCACCAGCCAGGTGATGAAGCTCTGGTCCCTGGTGATGTGGGTCAGCATGGGCGTGTTGCTGTTGCTGATGGGCACCGCCCAGGTCACACTGGGGTAGAAGTTGTCGTTCATGCTGACCGTCAGGCGGGACGGTTTGGACGTGGGTCCGGTCAGGGTGACTGTCTCGGTGGTGTTGCCGTACCAGGGGTAGCTGACACCGTCAGAGTCGCTGATGGCCTTCACCCGACCCTCTCGCAGCTCTGGTAGCTCCCAGCTGGACCTGTGGAGGGGACAGGAGAGGACAAAGTGAGAGGGTGCTCTCCTTGGGCAGGTGCAGGGTCGTGTAAAGGAGGTGTGCACACACAAAAAGTCCTTCAGTGGTAAAAAGTTGATGCCATACTTACATGCCAATATCCCCATAGGTGTTGTAGAACTCCATCTGGGTACAAGCCTGGATCCAGCCCACCACCCAGGTCTCATTGCGGGGCACTGGAGGCATCACAACCCCTGCCGAGGCCCTGAAGTAAGGCGTCTTGTAGCGGAGCACAATCGGTGAGTTCTCCTCGATGATGGTGGGACACTGGTCGATGGAGGCTGAAACCTCGTACACCACAATGTTCTCCCGTCTGATGCGGGGCTTGCATGCGATGCTCTGAATACAGCCCATACTGCAGGCGACAAGCAAAATGAGCAAAACCAGAGAAGAAGGGAGCAGATGATACCTGGCCAGTATGCACATCAGTCCCCTCCGGGGTCCACCCTTGCCTGGAGAGCAGATCTTTTAATTGCACATCATTAGTTGGGAAAAGGGTGGAGAGAAATGATGGGGAGTATCACAGTCAGCACTCATCTAACATAAAAGCCTCCAGCATGATGTGCTCAGGATTATATGGAGGTGAGAGCGCAGTGGGGCCTGGGGGGGAAGTATCACAGATCTCCGCAGCCTCCTCCCCCCGGTCTGCCTGCTGACTGCCGCACTGCCCTTGGCGCTCGTCCCCGGGAACTGCAATCCGGCCTCCCCTGGGCTGCTGCTGCGTCTCCGCCGTGCGTCCGGAGGCTCCCCTCCTTGTCGAGTCCACACGTCCGGCTGCACGTCGGTGCCCCTTGATCCTGCTGCTCTGCTCCCGGCTCTGCGCTGTCATGTCAAGTGGCGACAGGGCAGCCAGGTGCGTCAGAGGAGGGGGGCTGGATGTCTTTTGTTTGCTTGGCTTATTCCTGTATTATTAGCCCTACATTCGAGCGGCACCCTCAAAAGACAAAATTGGGCTCTTCATCACCTTGACCTACATGAAAAGAAGCCGCGCGAGGATGCGTCTTATAAAAGCAAGACAACCGGTTATTTTAATGTTTTCCTCGCAAAGTGCTTCCATTCTTGTGGATGCATGAATGGTGCATCATGAATGGAGGCAGCGAGGCAGCATGAGCGTGGAGAAAGCGGTGACTATACCCTGCTGCTCGAGCGTTTCTCTGTGTGTCGTCTCATCGTGAAGTGTCCTCGAGCTGAAAGTGAGCCTCGCGGCGCGGAGAGCATCCTTTCCCAGCCGTCTTCTTTCGTGTGGAGGTGCTGATGCTAGGGAGGCAGGGGAGGGGCGTCACCCGACCTCTGCATTGAAGAAAAAAATAACAAGTGCAGGGGGCGGGGCTACACGCCTGCATCACTCCTATCTGCATCCTCATTGGTCGATGGAATAAACAGCGGAAGCAGTGTCATTCTGCTGCTCCTCGACTTCCTACCACGGACACGGACACACATTCACCCGGCACTAGCTCGGCTTATTATCCTGTTGCTGGTTTATGATCGGCGGTTTGTTCGCTAAAGTATTCCAGAGGGTGCCGAGCTTGTTGTACCGGGTGTCGCTGATGATGAAGCCGCAGGTTGTGTTCGTTCTGGGGGGGCCTGGAGCTGGCAAAGGGACCCAGTGCTCCAAAATCGTGGAGGTACGACTGATGGCGAGAAAAAAAGACAATGAAAATAACGACTTTCATGTTTATGCCGTCATACAAATGATATTTAGTACAGTTTTAGGATGGTTATGACTTTAATAGCGCCCTTTTCTATAAGGTACTGTCTACATTTAAATGACTTCCGGTTGTCCTCTAAAATGAACCTGTTTTAGCAGCTAGCTAGTTAGCCTAATTTGTATGTGCTCATATTTCAGCCTGTGGTGCTAGAAATTAACATTGTATTATCTTTAAACTATTCTGAATATCCTCAGCATTCATTTTTGACACCTTAGTCAAGGCATTATTATAATTAAATGGGGTTTAGGCTTTTAGCCCTCTGTTTAATATTGTGTGGTCAAACGCCTGAATTAATTAGCTAAATGTCGGCTAGTTAGCGTCACACAGAGTGCAAATGAAGCCAGCAGGACACACCCTATTGACATTGTGTTCTAACACTATCTTTGACTTTGTATGTAGTAAAGGTTATGTAATGGTCAATGTGAGTCTGAAGAGGGCTTGGTCTCTCCACCATTGACTTTGATCAAACAGAAAGAGATGGGCACGTAGGCCCATTCACTGGCTGAGAGATTTTTGGTGATCACCCCAAACAGCTGTTAAACATGATGAGTCATACTTACACATAAAACACCTGCATTTGGAGTTTACATTTAAGAAGTTGTTGCTAAAGTACCCATACATGACACTTCACATCAAAGTCCCTACTTGATGCTGCAGCTTTGATATTTGTCTGAACTCTTGAAGGTTTATGAAGCTACAGCTCTGCTGGAAGCCAATGTTGATTATTTCATGTTTGACTAAGAGGGCGCTTTTGAGAGACTTTCATTTACTCGTTTATTTGAATCGGGACAGAGCACATTGATGAACACTTTAAAACAAAAATAATGCTTACAAGTGTAAATGAGCCGGATTTTTGCTTTGAGCTAATTTCCATCCGTAGTCCCTGCTTACATACAACATACAAGAACATGACATTTATATACATAGCAAAAATAAATACATAATATGCAGCAAGAGCAGCATACACGCATTTACCACATGGCAGTACAATGTAGCAGCGATGGTATATAAAGTGCAAGATGAGATTAAAGTGCTACATAAAGTGCGAGAGGAGATACCCCTGTGTTAAAGTGCATTTAGCGCTGATTGCACGTCTGTTTGTTTCTCAACCATTCTTTGAGTTGACCTTTAAAGCTATTGAGAGTGGGACAATCCCGTATCTCAGTTGGGAGGCTATTCCACAAAGAGCTGCCTTTAATTAGAGGACATTTTGTCCAAAAGTGGTCCGTCTGCGATGGACTTTACATTACATTGCATTTAGCTGACGCTTTTATCCAAAGCGACTTACAATAAGTACATTCGACCAGGAAGACACAACCTTGAAGAAAACAGAATCATATAAGTACATCAGGTTTCATAGAGCCAAACATTTCAAGTGCTACTCAACTGGCTTTAGGTAATCCAGTCCTTTATTAGTATAAAAGTGCTTCGTTAATAGTTCTAACGCTCGAAGTGGAGTCGAAAGAGATGAGTTTTCAGTTTGCGCCGGAAGATGTGCAAGCTTTCTGCCGTCCTGATGTCAATGGGGAGCTCATTCCACCATCTTGGAGCCAGGACAGCAAACCCACGTGTTTTTGCCGATGGGAACTTGGGTCCCCCTCGCAGCGAGGGCGCAACGAGTCGTTTGGCTGATGCAGAGCGTAGTGTACGCGCTGGGGTGTACGGTTTAACCATGTCCTGGATGTAGGAAGGGCCAGATCCATTCGCAGCATGGTAAGCAAGTACCAGTGTCTTGAAGTGGATTCTAGCAGTTACCGGAAGCCAGTGAAGGGAGCGGAGGAGCGGAGTGGTGTGGGAGAATTTAGGAAGGTTGAAGACCAGACGAGCCGCTGCATTCTGGATGAGCTGCAGAGGTCGGATGGCACATGCAGGTAGACCAGCCAGGAGGGAGTTGCAGTAGTCTAGGCGTGAGATGACGAGAGCCTGGACCAGAACCTGAGTCGCTTTCTGTGTCAGCTGGGGACGTATCTTCCTGATGTTGTAAAGCGTGTATCTGCAGCAACGGGTTGTAGCAGCGATGTTTGCAGTGAAGGACAGGTTGTTATCTAGGGTCACACCCAGATTCCTTGCAGTCTGAGTCGGGGAAACAACTGAGGTGCCGATGTTGATTGTTAGGTCAAGAGTGGGACAATCTTTTCCCGGGAGGAAGAGCAGCTCAGTCTTGTCAAGGTTGAGCTTGAGGTGGTGAGCAGACATCCACTGAGAGATGTCAGCTAGACAAGCAGAGATGCGTGCGACGACCTGGGTCTCTGAGCGGGGAAAGGACAGAATTAATTGGGTGTCGTCAGCGTAGCAGTGGTATGAAAAACCATGGCTAATGACTGATCCGAGCGAGTTTGTGTACAGGGAGAAGAGGAGGGGACCAAGAACAGAGCCCTGAGGGACCCCTGTAGTTAATTGACAAGGGTCGGACTCAGACCCTCTCCAAGTCACCCTGTAGGTACGGTCTTTCAGGTATGAGGTGAGGAGGGAAAGAGACTTCACAGTCTCCTCTGGTTTCTGACCTAGTGCAGCGTCCAGTTTGTTTTTTGTGGATGAATTCCCCTAGGGGGGGGGGGGGGGGCGGGCAGTCCATGTACACATTTATAAAAAAACACATACTTTTAAAAGACTTAAAATGGTCAAAACTCAAAAAAATGTGTTTTACAAGGATGGTACACGTACATGTTTCTGGGCGCTGCCATAAGCAGGCCTGTCTGGCAGCTATGCATAGACATCTTTCAAGCGTGTACAAAGATGGAGAACACGTAAGCCTCTCCTTAGGCTGGCTTCTCAAAAGTTAGAATTATACTGTCTGACCAACTGTTGCTTTCTCCTCTCCAGAAATGTTCTCTTGATCACTGGTTTCGGAGTGCTTTGTTTCGATAGAATTGGAACTGATAGGATTTGATACAAATGCCATCATTGATTCTGCTTATCGTTCTGATTCTTTTATTGATTCCTGGTCCATTTTCCATGTGGAGAAAAAAAAGTTAACCGACACATTTCTTCAGCATCAAACAAGTTGTTTTTATTATCTCAGACTCTGAACACATGGTAGAATGTCTCCCTAATAACATTTAAACATGATACAAAATAATGATTTGACTGATATTATCATCTTTCTTCATAAATGAGGCTTCGCTTTGCACTTGTTCCTCTCCTTTATGACTCCTTATTGAACATTTGTTTGTTCATAATGAAGACGTATCTGTCAGAAACAAAACATGCCGGCACCCATTAAAGGAATCTTATCATACAGTGTAAATATTAGATATTTTGATTATCTTCCCCGGTATTTGTTAAGAGTTCATATGGGTAGCATTACCTGTCCTGAAATTGCTAAAACAATGTTCAATTTCACTTTTAGGAGTTGCATAGCCAATACAAAAGTTGTATTTCTTCATATGATTGCATTACCTCTGTGGCATACGATTCCAATGGGTTCAGACAATTTGGAAACTGTTCCCAATGGTTATCCCTAAATATTAATATATTAATATATATATATATATATATATATATATATATATATATAATTGTCATCAACTTTTAAAATAATTTTTTTTTTGTGTATCTCAGAGCTTCAACTACACCCACTTGTCTGCGGGGGACTTGCTGCGGGCGGAGCGGGCTCGAGAGGGGTCGGAGTCTGGACAGCTCATTTCCAACTACATTAAGGAGGGCAAAATTGTCCCTGTGGAGATCACCATCAACTTACTCAAGAAGGTATGCACCAAATACAGGGTTACATGTAAAAACAGGAACATATCAATCAGGTTTGTGTTTGCCTAGCAAAGGACAGGATTGTGTGTCTGCCTGGGGCCAGTCCCTTTTATTCATGACCATGCTGCAGTAAACAAGTAGTAACAATGGATATTGTTGCTACTTTTATGAAGTAGATGCACCAAAACAAACATTTGCCTCTTAAATTAAAACCTATAATCAGTTGATAAAATGATCGGGTGTCCAATCTTATACAATTTCTGAGATGAATATGGATCATTGCCAATGATTTTCCTGAAACTATTTGACGCTAATATAAATAATCACACCGGCAGTGTGAGTAAGGATGTGTATCTGAAGTTTCGTCACCGTCCAATATTATTATGATATAAGAACAATATTATATCGTATTGATCCTTTGGACAGCAACACAATATTTGCTTACATCACAAATTCTGCCACGATATTATCACAATTGTTTTATATCAGTTCACAAAAACATACAAAAATGGAATAAATGTTTTTATTATTGGACTATTTCAGACATTTCAAAGAAAAAATAACATTTCATATATTTTTTTATTCAAATAAATAATAAAGTCCTCCTGTACGCTATAAAGTGCTAAACCTCAACTGTTAAGTTTCAATCGACGGATCATTACATTGTGAAACTGTACGCTTTCTTTATTAAAGGTCCCATGTCATGGCCATTTCTACTGATCATAGTTCCATTGTTGAGGTCTACTAGAATAGATTTACATTGTTCAATGTTCCAAACTCACATTGGTTTCTCAGACAGCATCTCTGTATAGTATGTGTATTCACTCCCCCCTGTGAGCCCACTGTGCTCTGATTGGTCAGCTCGCCCACTCTGTTCTGATGAGTCCACCACCGTACAGCGGAACATCAGTGTTTCTGTGTTACGTTTGTTAGCAACCAGGAAATACCAGTAATGACAAACAGATGAGAATGCTGCGTGGGGTCTGGCTGCCGTGTTGGCGGGACGTTGCGCGGCTCGCTGCTGCGAAGAGCGGACAGTGTGAGCTGGGTTACTGGTGTCATTTCCCGGTTGCTGTGTGGGGTCTGAGCTCAGGCTGAGTGAGTGTGTGTGTGCGGAGCTCAGGCTGAGTGAGTGTGTGTGAGGAGCTCAGGCTGAGTGAGTGTGTGTGCGGAGCTCAGGCTGAGTGAGTGTGTGTGAGGAGCTCAGGCTGAGTGAGTGTGTGTGAGGAGCTCAGGCTGAGTGAGTGTGTGTGCGGAGCTCAGGCTGAGTGAGTGTGTGTGAGGAGCTCAGGCTGAGTGAGTGTGTTGTGAGGAGCTCAGGCTGAGTGAGTGTGTGTGCGGAGCTCAGGCTGAGTGAGTGTGTGTGCGGAGCTCAGGCTGAGTGAGTGTGTGTGAGGAGCTCAGGCTGAGTGAGTGTGTGTGCGGAGCTCAGGCTGAGTGAGTGTGTGTGCGGAGCTCAGGCTGAGTGAGTGTGTGTGCGGAGCTCAGGCTGAGTGAGTGTGTGTGCGGAGCTCAGGCTGAGTGAGTGTGTGTGAGGAGCTCAGGCTGAGTGAGTGTGTGTGCGGAGCTCAGGCTGAGTGAGTGTGTGTGAGGAGCTCAGGCTGAGTGAGTGTGTGTGAGGAGCTCAGGCTGAGTGAGTGAGTGTGCGGAGCTCAGGCTGAGTGAGTGTGTGTGTGCGGAGCTCAGGCTGAGTGAGTGTGTGTGAGGAGCTCAGGCTGAGTGAGTGTGTGTGAGGAGCTCAGGCTGAGTGAGTGAGTGTGCGGAGCTCAGGCTGAGTGAGTGTGTGTGCGGAGCTCAGGCTGAGTGAGTGTGTGTGAGGAGCTCAGGCTGAGTGAGTGTGTGTGCGGAGCTCAGGCTGAGTGAGTGTGTGTGCGGAGCTCAGGCTGAGTGAGTGTGTGTGCGGAGCTCAGGCTGAGTGAGTGTGTGTGTGCGGAGCTCAGGCTGAGTGAGTGAGTGTGCGGAGCTCAGGCTGAGTGAGTGTGTGTGCGGAGCTCAGGCTGAGTGAGTGTGTGTGAGGAGCTCAGGCTGAGTGAGTGTGTGTGCGGAGCTCAGGCTGAGTGAGTGTGCGGAGCTCAGGCTGAGTGAGTGTGTGTGCGGAGCTCAGGCTGAGTGAGTGTGTGTGTGCGGAGCTCAGGCTGAGTGAGTGAGTGTGCGGAGCTCAGGCTGAGTGAGTGTGTGTGCGGAGCTCAGGCTGAGTGAGTGTGTGTGCGGAGCTCAGGCTGAGTGAGTGTGTGTGTGCGGAGCTCAGGCTGAGTGAGTGAGTGTGCGGAGCTCAGGCTGAGTGAGTGTGTGTGAGGAGCTCAGGCTGAGTGAGTGAGTGTGCGGAGCTCAGGCTGAGTGAGTGTGTGTGAGGAGCTCAGGCTGAGTGAGTGTGTGTGCGGAGCTCAGGCTGAGTGAGTGTGTGTGAGGAGCTCAGGCTGAGTGAGTGTGTGTGCGGAGCTCAGGCTGAGTGAGTGTGTGTGCGGATTGGTCCATTTGGACGTAGTGACTTCAATAGGCCCCGGAAGAATAAAATGGAAAAAGAGAAATGTCCAACGAGGCGTTCTGGGGCAGCACAGACAGGTCTTTTCTGTGTTAGAGTTTTACTCGCTACAGGGAGTACTTTGAGGGTTTGACTCTGCAGACCGTTTACATGCAGAAAAACCTTCATAACACACAAGGGGACGGGTGATAACCAGAAAAACATATGATGGGATCTTTAAGTTTGTCAGCAACATGAAACAAGAGTTTTTCATTGACTTCTACAGAAAAAAAACATTAAGTAGAATCTGCATGTCTTTATTAACATCTGGCTTCATTTGAAAAATCAGCTCTATCAAAACATTGATATTAGGGCTCTAATCTTTCTTCCGTTTCTGCAGGCAATGGAAGAGACCATGCAGGAAGACGAGAAAAAGTTCCGCTTCCTCATAGACGGTTTCCCCCGCAACGGGGACAACCTTCAGGGCTGGAAAAAGGTCATGGAAGGCAAAGCAGATGTCAAATTTGTTCTTTTCTTTGACTGCGGCAATGAGGTGCGTCATGAAAACCAGGAAGCTATAACTCTTCCAGCTGTTTTTAAACACAAATAGAGACCTTTTCAAATGAGCACACCATCTATATATCTTTTTCCCTCAGGTTTGCATCGACAGGTGTTTAGAAAGAGGGAAGAGCAGTGGACGCAGTGATGACAACAGAGAAAGCTTGGAGAAAAGGTAAAACAGTTAAACGGCACTGAACCCAAGAAGTATGTCCTGCTGCCTTTTATCCACTGATTGAATATTTCCGTCTGTAGCAACGTACAACAAGCAAATCTGATCGTATGGGTTTGTCTGACCTGTTTAGCTTGATATCTGCATGTGTTTTTGACCTAATTTGTCTCCTTTGAGTCCCCTGTGTCGTCTGACCCCAATAACCAGTCTTCTTCTTCTTCTTGCAGAATCCAGACCTACCTGCAGTCTACACGACCAATCATTGATCTGTATGAGGAAAGCGGCAAGGTGCGCACTATAGACGCCTCTCGCTGTGTGGATGAGGTGAGTAAAGGGTATTGCCTTTTTTAACCACCACCTTAACATTCCTGAAATATAGTATATAGGCCGCAAGGTGAACCTCGAAAAGTCCTTTAGAAAATAAATCCCGCTCCACAGAAGTGGAACTACATAATCTTTAGTTCATAAAAAAGAACGAGTCATGCTTATCCACCAAAGAAAAGTTTGTCGCTAAAATTCCTGTCAATTCTTCTAGGCACATAATTATTGGCTGAACTAGTCCCTTCAAAGCGTAATAATATCTTGGTCAAAAGTAGTGCCACGGTTTGTCACGTGATCGTGCTACACCAATTGGGTAGCTGCATATTTTCAACAGAAGTGAAAGATGGCCGCCTACATGGTTACGCTAAACCAGACCAAATGGATTCTAAACAGTGCTGTATGCTTGTTTTATGTCATGTTTTGTCATATGTCTTAATACATCACTAAGTCCGAGGTATTTGCGTTATATACGCGGTATTTGTGAGAGGTTTTACTATCTGGGAACAGAGTTGACCATCGAATCAACATTGGCTAGCAGCGTTTATCAGCCAACTCCAGCTACAACAACATTCCTGGACTACCATGTTCGCATCGCTAGGTTCATTGGCTGAGCTCGTGGATTATTCCATTAGACTGAGGACTTTTTGTCTGTCTGTTGTTATTGTTACCCTGTACACGTTAAATGCACTCTTACAATAAACATGACTTGATTTCATACATAGCTGCGTCCAAGAAGGTTAACTTGTTACGTTAAGTAATTTAGATCAATACAATGCAGTACTTATACCAATGACCATTGATTCATTTATTTACTCATTCATCATATAATAATTTGATGAATTGCATTATTATTATTATAGATTATTATTATAGATATATAGATTATTATTATAGATATAGATTATTATTATAGATATATATAGATTATTATTATAGATATATATATTATATTATTATTATTATTATTGTAATATGATAATATTGTATTTGTAACTTCAAAATCAATGCCACCGTTGTAAGCTTGTCCTGTACGTATTCCATCTTGTATTGGTAAAATAATCAACCTTTTCGTGCTTCACAGACGTAATATGCATGTAACAATGTTTGTGTGTTGATAATTTTGACGTTTTGAGACTTTCTGGTGCGTTTTCCTCGTCCCCGCTACTCGATGAAACCATGGCGGTCGCCATTTTTTCCAAATCTGTTTGTTGATACCGGTATATGCAGCTACCCAATTGGTGTAGCACGATCACGTGACGGACCGTGGCACTACTTTTGACCAAGATATTATTACGCTTCGAAGGGACTAGTTCAGCCAATAATTACGTGCCTAGAAGAATTGACAGGAATTTTAGCGACGAACTTTTTTTTGGTGGATAAGCATGACTCGTTCTTTTTTATGAACTAAAGATTGTGTAGTTCCACTTCTGTGGAGCGGGATGAAACGATAACAGGGTTCACCTTATGGCCTAATAGGGTTGGAGACTGGGAGGAGGTTTTACAAACCTCTCAATCCAGACAAACAGTTCCTTAATGAGGCAGGGTGGACAGGAATTTCCACATTGGCTTCAACATTATTGTGAAGGATTTTAGTGAAGTACTTTTCCCAGGAATAGTTCCTGGAACTTAGTTCCCCGGAAATCTTTAGTTCCAGAACTATCTAGTAAATCGCGTTCACACCGGAATAAGTCCCTGAGGGAGATTAGTCAAATGAAGCCCCTGACGTCACTTCTTCTTCTTCTGCTTTGAGTTTACTGGCAGGCCGCAAACCACTTCACGGCGTATACTGCCGCCCGAAGTCCCCGGCCGGAAGTCCCCGGAGTTGGGGACTGGCTTCGGTAGAAGCTGCTGGGAGTCCCAGCAGCCTTCCGAGTAAATCGTCAGAACGCCGACACCTCCTCATCTCCACCGCTCCCATGTTTTATTTTGTGTTGCCATAAGTTAGTCTCTCTCCGTTGGTGCGCGGGGCTAATGCCAGCAAATACAATGGCGGCTTCACAAAAGTTTTACGGGCCGTGGTTTGCAATTCGCCCAGCCAATCAGAAATTGGAACCTTTTCCTCCCGAGGAAAGTCCGTGCTCTCTAGCAAGGACTAAAAAGGGGTGAAAAGGTTCGCAAAAAAAAGTTCTAGTTCCAGATCTTTTTGGTGTGAACGGAAATATTCCTGGGAAAAGTACTCCGGTGTGAAAGTGCCTAAAGTGTCAAATGATATTGTGATATGCTTTTGCTGTAAATAAAATAACAAACTTTTCATACAGTAAACAAAGAAAACAGGCCTTTACAATAGTCAAAACAAATCAGACAAAAGAGGCAAAACTGAACTAATTAAGAAAAAATGTGCCTCGAAGGCGCCTTTCCGACAGACTTCCCATCTCTGTCTCTTTAGAGGAGGTAAATGTAGTCCTTTATACATCCTTGACTACAGACGTCACGATTAGGTGGCCCTTTTTATAAACAAAAATACTGGCTCTAACACAACTTTTTTAAATGTTAATTTGGCTATATTGAGACTCAAATATACTGCCATGAGGAAGTGTTTCCACAAGGTGTGAATGAAAAACCAATCTGCATAACATGAATCTGCTACTGTTTTTGTAACTTTATTGATTGCTGTTTATTTTAATCATTAATATAATGTATCTTTTATAGTATTGAATTGTTTGGGTATTTTTGTCAAATAAAAAAACGTGTGTGTTTTGGACAGTTGGTCCAACAAATCAGTCACCTTGAGGTCTTTTTAAAAAGAAAACATTATATAAATGTAATCCAATAATGAGAATAATATATTCAACAGCAACCCCGTAACCGTTACAAAACCGATCATTATCAAAACTAGCAAGCTATCAGAATTATTGTTTTTTAATCAAGAAAAATAGAATGCTTTTGATCAGAGTTGTTTGTGTAAACTCCTCTGCTTTTCTCTTTCAGGTGTTTGCTGATGTGAAAGCCGTCCTAGACAAAGAGGGTTGAGTCTCCCCAGCTGCCAACAACATTCATTTACTTCTTAAGATTTCTTTGTATCAAGTACACTATAATAAGTTATGTCAATTCATATTACTTTTGACCTTTGGTTACATTTTTTTCCTTTGTTTTACATCTCTTTTGTAAAGTGCTGCAGTGTTGTTTTGTGAATGTGTGTACAATATGTATCGGTATGAATGACATTTGAGTTGCTAAGCAGCTCCTAGCGATCAGAAGAGGTCACAGCTCGTAGTCTGAGGCCTTCGCATAGGAACAAAATGTATGGTTAGCTTAGCTGGACACTTTCCGGTCAATCAAACACACTTCTAGTAGTCTGGTATTATATCACCTATGTCGTCAGAGGATCATGTCATCTGAGGCAGCCATAATGCTTCAGACCAAATAGTTTGGTCTCATACAGGGATTTGTGTAAGAACATCACATAGCTTCCATATCAAATGCATAAAACATTGTTTTTAATGGACAGGGCTACAGGAGCAGTTGCCTTTGTGCCAGAAGAGACCTGCTACATGGTTTTTGGTAGATGGCTCACTCTTCATGAATATTAGACCTCTAACAGAAGGCCCTGATGAGCTTCATCCCATGAGATCATTAATAAAATATGAAGATAAAAAAAAACTGAAAAGTAAAAACAATGACTTTTTTCTCTTTGTTTTTCTAAACTCATCTACATTATATACATTATTATTATTATTTTATACATTATATACACAATATGATGAACTTTCTTTATGTAGGTTTTGTGTATTTCACTTTGATGCTAAAGTAAACATTTTAAGACGATTCTAGAAGTTAAAAAAACCCATGCAGGCTGTGGCTTTCATCCTAATCAGCCACCAGGAGGCGCTGGACATCACTAAATAATTTGAACAGATATTTCAAAGTTATTTTCAGTCAGTTGAAGTTTAACAGGATAAATAAATAAGGAAATTCATTTCTAAAATGAAGAAATATTTTTGACAGAATATAGAACATTTAACATATACACTATTAATATATACTAGGCTATATATAGGCCTACATAATAAAAAAATCGTTAATTAAAGGTGGGGTATGTAATTTGTTTCAGAAACACTTTTTGTTATATTCCATGGAATGCTCTTAACATCCCGATAGCAATGAATATATGAAATGCTTTGACAATAAATACATACAAAAAATGTCATCTGTGGAAGCCGTGGTGAGCTGGTTTCTCCGAAATTACCTACCTCACCTTTAAATGTATATTTTTATATTTTAAGTCTACATTTTTATTCTTTTGACTTTTTCAGTATTTTATTAATTCATAATTTGTTTTTGCAAGAGTTTATTTATTCTTGTCATCTTTTGTCTTCCGTATATATTCGAGTATCCACACATACAAAGAAGAGAATCAATTAAACAACAAGGTGCTCGCAAGTAGTTGTTCTATTTATGAGACTTGTGTTTTGTATAAGAGTGAAAACACAAGTCTACTTGAAAAATCCGTTACATTTACTTGAAAACAATGAACACGGGCTACATAATACATTTTTATTTTCATGTATCATATATATATATCATCTGCAGTTACAAAGACATTTGCTTACATATTACTAATATTCCTGAGCGTTTTTTTTAGCTTGAGGCCTGGTGCTTCTGCATCATAAGAGCTACACTCAACACATAATCAGCTTTCAAAACAAAGAGTACCAGCCATGCGTACACATGACAACAGGGCAATGCATACCAACAGCAGTTAATAACGACCAGGGCTTCCATATGGTCAGCGTTATAACACATTAGTAGTTAGACTGTGACGGTAGCGAATAGAGAAGCGTGAATGTAAGGCACTTTAATACACTCCTTTGTACGAGTGCACTGTAATACACACGGTAAGACACATCACACTTGAATGATCCAGCTGAATCATTGCAGCACCAAAATGTAATTGAATACAGCGAAGAAAAAGTATAAATAGCAAGTGCAGAGTTTAACAAACAATTTCAACATGTCAAGAGCTTAAGTAGAAATATTTGAAAGAAAAGTATGAAAATATATGAATTACAGCATTATGTCATGAGCACGTGCAAAATACCAACAGGCTAGAAATGATTGAAAAATATGTACATAGCATTTTTTTGATGAAACATGAAAATAAAATACGTACCACAAACTACCAAACGGTAAAAATAAAAAGCTCTTGTTTAAGCAACACATGTAACGTAAATATATTCGTACTCTGCCAGCAGATGGCAATCTGAAAATATATATTATCTTATTTACATAAAAACAAATTGCGAAAGTGTGATCACATTACTGGGCAAATTCATACCGTTATGAAAGCAAAACTGTAACAGTGATATCTCAGTCCGAACGACAGGACCGTCCTTCAATGCTGCTTAAAATTCACATTCAAAACGTACATTCTGTTAAGACATTCACATGGAAAGCATCAACTTCTACAATCTTTGAAATACCAAACGGAAATGTGCATCATTTACAAATGCATAAAGGGCAAACATATATCATATCTATGTTTCTGTTTGAAAAAATATATTTGTACAGCACCGCGGCCGATGCAAAAGAGAAAGGGAAATGACAGGGGAAGGGGGGGGTTCTCAGCAGGAGTTCACCAGGCCCGTGAGGATGTTGCTGGGGGTCCTGCGGTACTGAGCCTTGGTGTTGGTGACGGCACCGTGCTTCTGCCGCAGGTGAAGCCTCAGCTGACTCTTGTGTCTGAAGTGAAGGTCGCATTTTTCACACTGAGAAAAAAAAGAGAACATTTGTACGTTTTAAAGGGTTCTTTCATGCTCATTGTCAGCTTCACATCAGCATGTAGTGTCTCTACATGTCTCCATGCTTTAATGTTCTAAAGCTCTTTCTTTGTCTCATACTGCCTGTGCTGCAGCACCTCTTTTCACCCTCTGTCTGAAACCAGAGCCCAGTCTGCTCTGATTGGTTAGCTGGCCGGCTATGTTGTGATTGGCCAACTGCTTAGAGATGTCACGCCCCTTAGCCTATCACGTACAATATGTCTCAGCACTAGCCGATAGAAGTGAGAGTGTAACATTGTGATGTCAGTATGTTACGGAACTAAACAAACAAGTCCAATGGAGGCGTTTCAGGGGGGGGGGGGGGGGGGGGGAGTGTGTGGGAGAGAAACTCCCTCTGGAATGGTCTGCCTTTGCAGACCATTTACACGCACAAAAGCTGATAGAGCACACTTCAAAGAAAAAACCTCGAAATGCATTATGTGCCCGCTTTAAAAAGGCAGATTCATCCCCTACAGCTACAGGTGCTCTGCAGGATTACCACTCAGGATTTAATACTAATGATAGGCACACGGGGGGAAGGGATTACTCTCATTTTAGCTCAATGGATAAGGAGGAAGCTTACATGATAAGGCTTCTCTCCGGTGTGAATGCGCATGTGGCTCTTGAGCGTTTGCAGGTGGCGGAAGTGAGTTCCACAGATCTCACAGGGGTAAGGCTTCTCTCCGGTGTGGATTAAGACGTGGGCGCGGAGATGGGCCACCTGTGGGAACAAATATATATACTTTAAACATGAAGTCTTTCTTAGGATTCCCATTAGCATTGGCTATTCTTCCTGGGATATACTCACATACATTCAAACACATTTACACACTATAGCATAGTATATATACAGATCTTAATGCTTCTCCCTGTGTATCTTTAACCTGCGTGTTTGAATCCATTTGTTGTTTCTTATCCCCTCTATTTTCCCTATTTAAGAAATCTATCTCTCTGATAAAAGAAACTGGCCCAAAATATATATTTTTAAAAGCTATTGGTCTTAGAGCCCATTTCGAGTTGCAAGTATCTTTTGATTTGTTTCAAGTTGATTCTAAAGTCATTAGATTCCTTTGTTTTCTTCACCTGGACAAATCTGGAGCCGCATGTCTCGCACTTGTATGGCTTTTCTCCAGAGTGGATGCGGGTGTGTGTCTTGAGATTTGCTGGCCGGTTGAACTGAGCGCCGCAGATGTTGCAGTGGTAAGGCTTTGCACCTGGAAGTACATGATGAACGATGAATATAACAGTCACACATGTAAGGTCAACTTAAAGTGACTTTAAAGGCACAAAATGTCATGTCCTGCCACTAGGGGTCCCTCAATCAAAACAATAACAAAGATGGAGATTGGGATAAAATAATGACATAACACCAGAGATGGGGTCGTTACTAAAAAAAAGTAACATATTACATATTACTTTTTAAAAAAAAAGTAATATATTACACTACTTCGTTACTCTCTACATAAAGTAACTCGTTACTTTACTCGTTACTTTACTCGTTACTTTACTCGCAGGGCCGGCCCGCCCCTCCCTACAGGCAGATCACGCAGACTGCGGCGCACCTACAGTGTGCGCGCCACAGTTTTGCCTCTGCGAGACTCCACTTGCACCCCCAATTACTATTGCATTAAGAAAGACATAACACGTGTCTTTCTTTTGATATGCTCTAAAATAGGCTACCAGCCACACAACAAGCTAACAGTCTGTGAAACGTAAATACACTAATGAATGAAACCAGTTCAAGACGCATTATTCTTATCATTCTTTATGAGCACATAACGGTAAGGTATCTAATTACTTATGTATTTAGTATTCCATAACTTAGTAACAGAGATGGTCAAACTAAAGTGGTAGAGACATGGCAGAATTCCTACAATGAAGCGGGACATTGAACTGTTCACCCGTGAGAGGGCGATCAACAAAAGAGAGCGAGCGGCCCCGTTGAGGGAGTTTACAGATGAGAAGACTCAGCCATGTTTATGCAGCACTGCACGTGGAGATGTGGTCTCGCAAGTCGCGCAGATTACATAGGCCTACATGTATATAAACCTGCGGCGGAAACCCCTCTAGTCTGTCAGTGAGTGTGATTATTTTATAAACGAAGTAACACGTGTCGGGGCAATGTTAGTAACTGTAGTGCGATTACTAAATTATAAAAGTAACGCGTTACACTACTCCGTTACCGACAAAAGTAATATTATTACAGTAACGCGTTACTTTGTAACGAGTTACACCCAACTCTGCATAACACAACAGCTATATGACATAGTTCTAGTGGTTTGAAGGCTTTTTAACGCAGAGATGCTCCAGAATACTTTTAAAAAGAATGTTAATCTCACCGGTGTGAACAGTCTTGTGGCTGGCCAGGTTCCCCTTGTAGCGGAAGGCGGCCTGGCAGCAGTCACACTTGTATGGCTTGTCACTGTGCACCTGGGCCATGTGTTCTTTCAGGGAGTCCTCCTCCGTGAACTTACAGTCACACCCGTTGCAGAAGTAGATGTTGCTTTCTGCACAAAGAAGCAATAAAAACAATGAGATTTTAGCACACCTCCATGGTTTTGTTTTGAAGTAGTAGTAGTAGTGTTGACGGCCACCTACCGCAGCCGGAGGAGGAATACTCTGAGTGTAGTTTGGTGGTGTCCTCTCTGCTGTAAGAGTCCGGAGAAAGGTGGCCGATATCCAGGCACTGCGGGCTGTCACAACCACAGGAGGAGCATCTGCGGTAGCTGCGGGTAGAAATACAACCTCAGAGTTCAAATAAGTTATTTGCTACCACAGAAAAAACACCATATCATCTTCTTATTTTCAGTGTTGTACCTGATGCTGCTACAGGTGCTGCTGCTGCAACTCTCCACGCTCTG